CGACCGCTCCCACACTCATTGTTTCTCGCATTTTCTCAGTTATGCGGTTGTGCTTTGCCACTAGTACCCCCGCATACTGTCCCCTCGTCTGTCGTTGGGACCGGCGCTCCCTAAACATTTGGAAGATGTCTTCCTCCGGCGTCCATCTGCCTCCTCCGAAGGCCTTCTTCAGTCGCTCCTTGATCACCGGCCATGGTGTCTCCTCATCCGCCTGAATTTGGTTCAGGATGTTCCTCCTTACGCGGCACACCAGAGCTGCTTTCAATGCTTCCGCGTCCCCTAGGTTCACCAGGTCCTCCGCCACCTTTACCTCTATTCTTGACATGAGGCGGTCTCCGCCTTTCAGGAAATGGTTAAGCTCCCCTACCTCGCCACCGAAGCGTTCCAGGTCCGCAATGGCTCTCCGTAAGTCCTGCGTGGTCGCCGCTCTTATCTTCATCCATTCTAGCGCGTTAGCGTGCGCTTCTGCCAATGTGTCCCTCGGTAAGGGAGGGATCTCCTGGATCTGCGGAATCTGCTGTACCTGAGGTATTTGAGGTATCTGAGGAACCTGAGGGGCCTGCGTGATCTGAGGTATCTGCGGAATTTCCTGAGGTTGAGGGATTTCCGGGGCGCTTAACACTCCCGGCCTGATTAAGCCCTCTGTTGGCATCTCACTCTTTCCTTATGACTAGGAGAAGAAAAAAAACGAGAGAAAAAAAAATGAACTTAAAAAAAAATTACTTCTCTGTTCTCCTGACGTAGTCCCGGGTTTCGGCACCAGTTAAGCGTCGGCGGACTATAACAATAAAAAAAAAGAAAGGAAAGGGGTTGAGATGCAACACTCTCGGCTTCTGAATAGACACTGCTTTATTCATTTAGTAATCCTCCTTATATACATTTCTTATGTTTATTTACATTCAGGATGGCATTAAGGCTGATATCGCCAGTCTCCGGTCTCTATCTTATATATATACGTACACACACTCACAAAACACACACACATGTATATACATATACACACTCATCCTATCACTATAATTTATTAATTGGAGTGATAGAGTTTATTGCTACTTGTTTGTTAATAGATGTCTTGTCATAGTTTCCTATTGTTCGAATCATAGGGTTTTCAGACGTTAGTGTTAGCTCAAAAAATTTCTATTTTATAAAAAATATATATTATTTTATAGTGGGAAGCTGTAACTCTGATAGCATAATAGCTATTTTGGTATAATTGTATAATTTGGTAGGTAATTATTTATGATTCTCATACATGTATTTTGAATCACTTCAAGTTTTCTGTAATTAGTGTCGCATGTGTAACTCCATGATGGGGCGGAATAAGTAATTAAAGGGTGGATTACTGTTTTATATAAAATCAGTTTATTTTTAATAGTCAATTGTGAATATCTATTTGCTGATCATGTTTTTTTCTTTATTGCACTTGTTATTAATATGTTGGGTGAAGTTTAGAAAACTGTCAAGTTCTAGGCCTAAATATTTCATGGAGTTAGACCAAGGGGTCTGTACATCTTTTATGTGTATATTATGATATATGCATGGTATTCTTTTTGTAAAATTAATTGCTTCAGTTTTTTTATTATTTATTTTTATTTTCTATTAATCCTTGTAGTTTTATGAACTGGGATTTTAATTAGAGATCAAATGGCAATTTGCCGATATATCGGCCCAAATTGTTATTATCTTTTTTATTATTTTTATTACAATTGGCCTTATGACCTTATGTTATTAAGATTAATAGAGTTTGACTGATTATCGTTCTTTTTTTTTTCTCATCCTCTCCTCAGATTTTCCGCAGATAGGGATAACGTAAAGACCGAAATATCAGCTTTATAACCTTATTTTATGGAATAGTTTGGTAGAGTTGGACCAATTTTTATTTAATTTCTTTTTACTGGCCTTTCCCTTCCTATAATTTGAGCAAATACTGATATATTGCCCTCACAACCTTATTTTAACAAAATTAGTTGTTTGATTTCTTCTTTTTTATCTTTTTTTTTTTTTTGTGCTCCACTGCACAATTTTCTGGTCATCCATTTAAACCTATATATTGGCCTCTTCCAAATTGAATATTATTTTTATTGCTCATAAATGTGTCAATCATTTGTCAAGGGATCGATATGAACATAAATTTGATCAAAGACCGATATATCTGTCTTATGACCTCATTTTAACAAAATTAGTAGTTTCATTTCTTCTGTTTTATCTATTTAATTTTTTTTTTTGTGCACCACTGTACAATTTTATGTTCATTCTTTTAAACTGATATATCGGCCTCTTCCAAATTGAATATTATTTTTATTGCTCATAAATGTGTCAATCATCCGTCAAGAGATTAACATAAACATTCATTTGATCAAAGACTGATATATTGGCCTTATGAACTTATTTTATTTAGATTATTAGAGATTGACTTACTATCATTTTTTAAAATTTTGTTTAGATTTTCCACAGATACGGATAATGTAAAGACCAAAATATCGGCTTTATGACCTTATTTTAATGAAATAGGTTGGTAGGGTTGGAACAATTTTTATTTAATTTCTTTTTTCTGGCCTTTTCCTTCCTATAATTTGGGCAAATACTGATGTATCGCCCTCACGACCTTATTTTAACAAAATTAATTGTTTGATTTCTTCTTTCATATCTATTTTTTTTTTTTTTTTTTTTTTGTGCACCATTGCACAATTTTCTGGTCATGAATTTAAACCGATGTATCGGCCTCTTCCAAATTGAATATTATTTTTATTGCTCATAAATGTGTCAATCATCCGTCAAGAGATTAACATAAACATTCATTTGATCAAAGACTGATATATTGGCCTTATGAACTTATTTCATTTAGATTATTAGAGATTGACTTACTATCATTTTTTTAAATTTTGTTCAGATTTTCCACAGATACGGATAATGTAAAGACCAAAATATCGGCTTTATGATCTTATTTTAATGAAATAGGTTGGTAGGGTTGGAACAATTTTTATTTAATTTCTTTTTTCTGTCCTTTTCCTTCCTATAATTTGGGCAAATACTGATGTATCGCCCTCACGACCTTATTTTAACAAAATTAATTGTTTGATTTCTTCTTTCATATCTATTTTTTTTTTTTTTTTTTTTTTTTTTGTGCACCATTGCACAATTTTCTGGTCATGAATTTAAACCGATGTATCGGCCTCTTCCAAATTGAATATTATTTTTACTGCTCATAAATGTGTTAATCATTCATCAAGAGATTAAGATAAACATAAATCCGTTTTAATGGATGTGGTGATTGCATTTTGTTCCCACGAGTATGGGGGTAGAAAAAGGTCACTACAGGTACTACCCCCTCTCCCTGCAGAAGGCAATTAATTACAATGGGGTGCCCTAAGTGGGTCGAATTGACAGTGTATTTTTAATTAAGATACGCTCAGCCATGGCTAGAGCTCCCTCCACCTAGCTTGAGTGTTGTAGAAGAAGGATCTACACAACTGCCCTCTAAATTAGAAGGCAGAAGTATGGATCCCTGCCTCTATTGTTCGCAAGTCCCATCGGACTCCCCGGGGAGTACCACAAGGAGATGACAGTAGATGTTAATAGGGATAAGGAGGACTGGGAAGTCACAAGCAGTGGGTTGGGAACTATTGCTTGATCATTCCGCTAGGAGAGAGAGAGATTCCTGCACTCATCTCCCTCTACAGTCACGTAAAATGTCATTTTGAGAAAAAGTTGTATTTGTCATATTCTTGACCCCACGACGTTTGTTTATTTGTCTAATAATATGTTTGGCTGTACTTTAAATACAATTATTAAATAAATTAGCAAAAAATCATGCTAATGGAAAAAATTAATATTGTTTTTTACATATAATAAAAATTCTCATGATAATTGTTTTCTATTTTGTTACATTAAATAAATAAAATTATAAATCTCAATGTTATCACTGTTTTCAATAACTTCTGTCATTGGTAAACAAATATTCTGATCTACTAGTACATATAAAACAGTAAAAAATTAGCTAATAACTTCTTAATATTACACTCACAGCTTTATTTGGATTCATGTTGGATGGCATAGTTATAGGGCTATAATAATGTTTTTGGTATATTATTTTGATTATATTTAAGAACAAATATTAATGCAATAATTTAATTGTCCAAAACAATTATATATATTATTTTTTTTTCTAAATTCTATACTGCAACGTTTTGGACAGTTAAATTATTCTATTATTATTTCTTCTAAAATATAATCAAAATAGTATGATAAAAACAACTTTTTCTGAAAGTGACACCATTTTATGAAAAAGTTTAGACTAGCTGTAACTGTAGACTGATTGGAGATTAATTTGCATATGTTTATATATATAAATAAATAAATATATATATATATATATATATATATATATTCTAATAGGGAATTTAAATCTCTACAACTTCTTTTAAATAAATTTCTTTCGCTGATGGATTGCTTAGACGATATGAAAGAAAGTTTGATGAAAAATGTGAGATAAATTTTTTTTTGTTGAAAATGTAAACTTTTTCCGAGCTTGAAAACGATTGAGAATTTGGGAAAAATCTATAGAATAAAAGTTATAGATAATTTTATAAACTTTCATTTATTATTGGACAATGTTCTCCTGTGTCGCACTATTTTCGTGATATAAGGAAATCTGAAAATTGTAGCCTTTCCTCCTCCCTGTTCCCCCTCGGCAAACCACCTAGATGTCAGGACTTTAGATATGTTCACACCTTAAGTACCCTGAACAAGTTTCTGAAGGAATTGCTTAGGTTCCTGCTTTCACTCTCTATAACTCATTCCTTGACTGGACTATTATATCTCTTCTTATCTCAGCAACCACAGATTTTTTAATCACATTTCATCATATTGCATTTTAGCAACACTGGCCATTGATGGGTTAATGAACACATTTTTATTTTATTGGAACTTCGTTTCAGATAACTGTATTGTGTTAAAACTATATAGTGGCTTAAATAAGTTTCTTTTCTTTTTTCTTTTAGAACAAAAATATTGGGCTAAAGACATAATTATGTTGGTCACAGAACATGAACAAGTTGGAATGCAAGCCTGGTTAGAAGCATATCATGGTGTATCTTGTGGTACTGGTAAGATAAAATTTGTTTTGTTTCAAGAGTATTTCAATTTATTTTTAATTAATCAATATGAGATAATTTTCAAATTTATGAAATTAATTTGTTAGTTGCTCTGAATTGTAGAATAGAAAAAGCAATTTTGTTCTAGGACAAATTCCCTAAGAATAAAAATCGTTTACAGACAAATAAAGATTAATTCTTGCCATGGTGGTAATGTTTGAATTTACTCCATTAATATATAGAATATTAATCTGTCCTATCCTAAATAAAGGCTCCATGTATAAGTGTAGCAATTACAGAGGCATAGCTGGATTCACATAAGGGAGGAAAAATGTCTGTGAGACCTGGACAGTAACCAGCACTCCAGAAGAAAGAAAGAATCGATAGAAGAGCAACAATAAATTTCACTCTGATTCAGGGCGGGCTTCAATGTCGTGTTAGATTTTTTCATGGATGTGGGACATAAATTATGGTTTTAGCTTCCTTCTCATTCTCATTCATGATCTGGCTGGAATATGCATATTTTTTTTTTATTAGTTGAAACTTAATATATTCTGTTACATTTGAGGGTATTAATATTAGGGCTACATTAAACATTCACACAATATGCACATGCAAATGATAACTAAAATAGAGATAAAGAAAAAGAATTGTAGAAAATAAAATAAGAAAATTAACATACATATGTACAAAAAAGAAATGAAATAATAGATAGAAGCTAAATGAAATTAAAATAGATAAAACGCATTCATACCTATATACAATATTTACATTTGCCCAGGGGAATCTGAGTTAGGCTTTATCCTCCAAATGTGGAAGCCAAAGCAGGACTCCAGGAGATCCCAGTGCCCCCAGCCGTGTCACTGGTATTAGAAGCCATTGGAGACTGATGGAGAGTACTAAAGTAACAGACCCCCAGGACTTGAGTGGAGAATCTGACCATTGCCAATACTTCAATATATACATATTTACAAAAGATTGTGGAGCCACTGCCTTTTTAATCTCCGGAGAGGATTGTAGGAAAGTCTGCAGCTAGATAGGGATTATGCTACAGGATTTGGATGATGAGTGAGGTTCGGGTGAAATTTGGAAAATTTATCTGGTCAGGAACAAATGGGATATGAAGGTCATTATGGAGAGTTTTATTGGTTACATAGAAGGGAGTATCGACTATTGTTCATAGAACTTTGGACTGGGTGGATTGAATGCGTTTGATGTTAAAAGGTTTTGCTGTCCCCCACAGTTCTAGTCCGTAGGTCCTAGTCCGATAGGTTTCAGGATTGTCTTGTAGATTAGTAATTTGTTGTCGACTGAAAGTTGAGATTTTCTATTCATTAGTCTATATAGCTGTCCGTATCATCTGTTAAGTTGTCTTTTAAGTATGGTATGTGGGTTCCACGTTAGTCTTCGATCTAAGAGAAAGCCAAGATACCAGACTGTGTCTGAAAAAGGAAGCTGGGTGGAATAAAAGTAGACTGGTGGAATTGAGGAAGGAACTAAATTGGGTATTAGAGATGGATTGGTTGGAAGGGCAATACGCTGATGCATGAGTAATAGGAAAGAAGAAGGTTTTGATTATGATAGCTGTGGATTGTAGGAAATCATGAGTAGGTAATCGGAGTAGGTGATGAGTGAGCAATTGGTGTTCAATGACTGCGGTACAGGTACCGGCATGTGCTCCACCATCAGGATGGTCAGTACGATATGTTGAGTACTTTGGTATTTTTAAAATTCGTTTTTTGGTCAGTCAAGTTTCCGTAATAAGGGCTACATCAACTTTCTTGTCTAGTAATAGAGCAATTAGTTCATCAGTGTGACTTCTAACACCATTCGCATTCCAAAGGAGAATGGATAAGGATTTGATAGAATTCACTTAAGGATTTTTTGAAGGAGGGATGAGGTGAGATACTAGATTTGTATAGAGAGCTATCAGTGGGGTAATAAGGAATTTGAATTCAGTGAGGAAAGATGACAACAAACTGGTAAGGCTTGTGATGGAGGAGGAATGTGATATTGATGAGGTTGTTGAGGGTTTTGTACATTAGGAGGGATATGATGTTGAAGTTGGGATTGGGGTTCCTGTCGCTGCAGGGCCTCACATTTGTCAGTCGGGGCGGGGCGCTACCCTCCAGTAACTGGGAAAAAGAAACTTTACAGTTTACTATTTTCGCAGGTCCTCTTCTGGGCTTAGACATTTCTTCTTGGTTCCGGGGTTTACAAAATTTATTTTTGATGTTTTTGTAGATCTGGCAGCCCTTGTAGTTGGCAAGATGTCCTTCCAGGCATAAAGCACATACTGCGGGAGTAGTTTTCAGTTTATTGCATTCACTAGTCTTGTGTGAATCTCCGCATTTCCCGCATCTTGGAATGTGGTGGCAGTAAGTTTTGGTGTGGCCATATGCTTGGGAATTAAGGCACTGGACGATTTCTTTTTTAGTGTATGGTTTTTCAACCTTACCACTAGTATAATATAATCTTTTAGTTTCATATATTTTATCGACTCCTGATGAGGATTCTAAATCTCTGAAAGATATGGGTAATGGTATTTTTCTATTTGCCCCGGATACATCTCTGTCGTCCTTCATAACATTGGTGACTTATCAGACTTGGAAACATAGGGCCATCAGTTCTTCTTGGATCGGGGTGTAAATTCTGGATTACTACCCTCAGGGAATGCTCTTGCCTCAATTACTAGGTGGGAAAATCTGCCTTTGTGTCGGATAGATATTTAATTATTTGGCGGTATGAATCAGCTGTGCCTGGGGATATTTTAATATCATTAGTGCAGCTTAAGCAGGAGTAGCTACCATGAGATGTAATTTTGTTTAAATGTGTGCATAGTAGCAGAAATTGTTTTAAATTTTTAACGAAAATTGGAGGTCGGGGATCTCTGGGAATGGGTACAGATTTCATTGCCTCTTTTTCATTTTGCATTACCGCATAAGGATTTGGGGTGAAAAAGGGAGACTCCTGAGATGTACCCTGCTGAGGTTGAGTGTCTTCTGCTACTTTAGGTGGAGTCATTCTTTTGGATTGGCGACTTTTTTTTTCACTGGTGATGAACGTAGTGTAGATCCGGCAAAGTGAGACCTCGTTGTTGCACCCTTAGAAGACATTAGTTGATGGTAGTATCTCATAACACATCAAGAAAAAAGTGAAGGAAGGAAATGAAATAAAAAAAATTAAAACACGTTGCATGAAATTGATTTTATATCAGCATCGCAAAAGGACCTCTCCTGGTCAAGGCTCCAAGCCCAACTGACTAGTCTGGGCCAGGTACTGATGGCTGCGGGATAACGGAACTCTCCTCTATACACTGGCTTCACTTCACACAATAAATAACAACTGTACTCGCTGTGGCATTTGTGCATATTATGGTACAAGTTTTTAGCTCACGTATAGTCACAATTTTATTAAAAAATAACATTAATTTTCCAAGAAAAAGTGAATATATCTAAGAGATGAGGTAACAATGGTATATTATAATCTATGGCATGCGCCGAACTTAAAATATGCATCTGAAAAAAAACTTTTCTTATTTCTAGACCAATAAAAATTCTTTCTTTTAGGAAGATGACATGATATATTTCTTGCTCTGATATCACTAAATTAATCTCTTGAGTTAAATTGTTCCAAATCTATTTTGTCATTTAAATCTGAAATTAAAGTGATCATATCTTATAGGACCAATTTCTTTTTAATAAATTCTGTTGATTACATTTAAAAAAAAAAAAACAACTAAAAATTAGCTTTAAATGGTATCGACTATTTATCCCCAAAAAGTGATACATAGAAAGGAATCTCATATTGACCCCTGCCACTTTACTGCTTCCATTATCTAACAATGTGATGTCAACAAAATCTTCATTATAAAGATAGCTCCTTTTTCCTGAGTAGGTGTACTACAGTCTGGCGAACTGGAAGCAAGAGGGGGAGCTATACAGGCAGCCATCAATTTGGAGCTTCATTCTGACTTCATAAAGTATGTTGATGTTAAAGTCTCTGGGCTGAACGGTCAACTTCCCAACCTCGATCTAGTCAATTTAGTCCTTAGAATCTGTTCTAAGGAGAGGGTTAGACATACATTTGCCAACAAGGTAAGTTTACGGTATTATTTAACTATTTATAATATGAAACCAGATCTTCTGTGATGATACTAACTATTGAGGTATTAATAATATGTACATTCAGTTCTTCAGGATCTTCAAATGCAGAGAAAATACTGTGATTATAAAAAAATTTGAATTCAAGTTTTCATCAGAGTAGGGTTGCCAGGTTGCATTTTCTCCTCTAGATTTAAGTTTTTGTTTTTACTATTTTGGGTTTTCTTAAAGGTGCAAAAGTTTTTACAGGTTTTCTTTAGAGTGAACAATTTTTGGAATCAACACACCTATCAACTCTCTGATTTTAGGATTAATCCTGGGAGCACTAGTGCATCTGAAAGTAAAAATCTTGACAACTGATGAAGACGCGGAAACATTTTAAGAAATGATTATGAATAATCATCAAATCACTATCAAATAAGTTGGTGATGAAGATTGTGGTAAAATAATTCATGGTTTTTGCACCAAAATAATGAACCTGCACACACTTCATTGCTTGTTCGTGTATTTTTGGTGAAAAACAACACTTTATGATGCCCCAGTCTCTATATTCTTGATATGGTTCCGTGGTCCGACTTTTTCCTCTTTCCAAAAATAAAATGAACCTTAAAAGGTCATTATTTTTCAAGCATAGATGAGATCAAAAGAACATCGCTGAGAGAGCTAAATGCTATCCCAAAGATTGAGTTACAGAAGTGTTTCAGGGACTGCAAGAAGCGCTGGTATAAGTGTATATAATACCCAATGGGAACTACTTTGAAGGTCTACGATCATATAACATTGATGTAGAATAATAAATGAAATTGTTTGAGAAAAACAAAACAATTTCCATTACTTTTTTAACACATCTTGTACATGATTAATTATTTTGGTTGAATGAATTAATCATTTTGTTTGATTATTGTTTTGTTTTCTTAAATAGTCCTTTTGTTCCATTAACATCTGAGTATTTTTCGTTGATTAACATGGTTATTTTTTGCTTTTAATAATATTACGAGTAAATGATGGTATGCCGCCTGCAAGCAAATTAGCTTTGTTACTTTCACTGGAAGCAAAATGGTGGTTGAGTTCCTGATTCTTATTTGCTGGACAACCAACAATCTGATTGGAGGAAAATACCTGTAGTCTCATTTTGAAAATTATGGAAGTAAAGAGAATTTTCCTCTTCAATCAATCCGAAGAAATCGGCCTTGCCAATGACATAATTTCCAGTTGGTGACTCATTTTCCATAAATATTGCCTCATAAATCTGTAACAAATCATGCTTATAAGATATGTTTGTGCCAAACAGAAAAGAGGACCTGTTCCTTGCTATTTTAAATAGCATTAAGCTATTTTGCCTCCCAAAATAAATAAATGAAATGATTTATGTATGTTGTAAAATAAAAGTGTTGTTGTTGTTATTTATATTTCTTATTATTAAATTACTATATCATTATTATATTGGGGATTACATGTATGGGAAAGTGAACTGGGGTTATTTATATTTATTATTATTATATTTATATTTATTATTAATATATATTTATGTGTGTATATATATATATATATATATATATATATATATATATATATATATATATATATATATATATACGTATATATATATATATATTTGTTAATAAGAAACAGGCAAAAAAGAGGCAACACCAAATATAATTATATTTCTTATTATATGAGAGTCTAATTTCATATGAAGATAGGAATTAATTATCAGTGCTTTATAACAATTATCAGTTTTCAGATTATAAACATTGGCAGATAGGAATTATCTGTGCCTTATCACAATTATCAGTGTTCAGGTTATAAACATTGGCAGATAGCAGTCCATAAAGTACCTTGTATTTTAATTAGGTTTTTGTGTTTTTACCAAATTTTATTTGGTTTGGATAATCAGATGTGAGCTAAAGTTTGATTAAGTAATTATTATTAAAAATAAAAGTAGCTTTATAGCTAATCTATTGCTGTGGGCTTTAATTGTTTTTCAGGCATTATTTGTCTTTAACATTTAGATTGAAAATTTCATTTAAACTGAAAATTCAATAAAAGCACAGGTTCTTATTTCTTCAGGAGAAGATTCACAATCTGCCCAGTTATGAGCAGTGGCAGCACTCTCTTGAGATTATGACATCCATGTTATTGGCACAGGCTCCAGGTGTACCAGATGGAAACCACGGACTCTTTCATCGGTAACAATTTTAAGTAATTTATTGTTTACATTTTAGGTAGCAGACTAAATATTCAGCCTAGATATGCTAAATATCCAACTATTGGGTTACGATCCTTGATTTGTGCAATAATTAGTATTTTCAATACTGAGCTTCTAATGCTAAAGGTCCCAGGTTCGAACCATGGCTCATGGCAGAAAATTTATTTATCTGTTTCATTAGCCGTGGGGCAACCCTGGATCGGGAGATCCTCCTGGGGCTCACCCAGCCTCTATAAAGTGGGTACCCTCAATTAAACAATTAATTAAGGGAGAAAACCTGGCGGTTGAGCGTGATCTCGGTCAAATCACCTTCTTGCACAACCATTGACCTAGAAACAGTGCTTTCCCTAAATAGCACTGAACCCAAGACCCTTCATGGGTTGTAGTGGTACAGGTTTTCTAGTATTTTCAGTAATTCAGTAATCAATTATTCATTAATACTAATACTTTTATCTTTATTTTCATTTTCCTTGAATAACAGTTGTAGGGTAAGGGGCGATACCAGAATTAATTGCAATCTTTCTTCCCTATTATAATTCACTGATTCTAAAGTTAGAACCAAAAAATATTATATATATATTCGAGGGTCAAATAAATTATATACAATTTGATTGGTTCTGGATTTATTATTACACACTTTTAAAAACAAAAAAAAATACTTTCATGATTAACAACAAAAACAATAATTATTCTTATTAGAAAAAAAAATCTGATGCATGCGTCACACAACTTTCACTTACCATCCTCTTCTTAGCAGAAATAAGTATTTTCAGACCAAGGGGAATGAATATAAAAATTATAGACGCTATATTTATTTCATTTCATTGTGGGTATTTTTATTTGTTTAAATACCCTTATATATACAAATTTTTATTTTTATATTTCTGTAATATATACAATTAAATATTAAATAATACCAATGATAGTATTTATGAAAATCGCATATGTATATGTATATAATATTGTCGGAATTCTTATTATATTAAGCTCATGTTACGTATGGAAGCATGTCCTAATCTTTCTGGCATGCTCGGGCGCCCTCATATTCCTTTGGTTTCTTCATTACAACTATTATCCATTACAATCTCTTATTTCTCCTTTAGCTAATTGTCAAATTTTTTCATAGTTTATATTTAACTATTTTTTATATCAAAGATTAATGTGAAGTGATTAATTATTTCAAATAAACAAAATTTAAGGTACTTTAAAGGAAGCTAATATTGAAAATTAGTCATTTAAGCTCTGTTAGAGCATATCAATGAGAAAAAACCTACATATTTACATTACATTACATTAACATTAATTTATTAAAAACTACTTAATAATACACTGATATACCCAGTTTGATCAAAATCGTTAGAGCCGTTTTCGAGAAAATCTTAAAAATGTGTAACATCGATTACATAAATTGCCACTTTTGGTTAGCTGATTTTGGCAAAATATTTGCTGAAACATCTCAGGTATATACAAACTTTAACTATGCAATTTCACTTTTATACGACTTTTCGTTTTTGAGCTAGATAAGTCACATACACACACACCATTTTGCGAAATGTTATGTATATATATGTTCATAGCCCAGTGAGGTTGGCTCTATGTGGTAGTTCTTCAATTAGATGATATCACAATAAAATGTCCTTTTAACAATTATCGATGAACTTGGATGAGAAGTGAGGCTAAATGTTTATAGCCGCCTCTTTTTTTTTCTAACAAATGACGCACGCCCGCAAACAACGCAGCAATAAATATCGTAATAAATCCTTTTACTTGAAAACATTGTTATTTCTATCCATCATATACTCTGGATTAACATTTTTTTTTAAATACAAGTATTAAAATATAATTTATAAAAATAAAATTCTGTCCTTAACAACAGTTTATGTGGTGAAAAGTACCAATATAAGGATTAAAGTTTTCATGAAAAAAGATGGAAGGTGTTGTATTTAAGATTAGTTAATTTCCTCACACTATATTGCCTTCTACAGATATTTATTTTATTAATTAGATATTAATTTTCAGGAAATTTGTGTTCGACCTGGGAAAAGATTTTTCTTTTCTCTCCAACAGTTAATTTTTCAATAATTTATTACCTTTTAGCTAAAAAGGCTTTTCCACAGCCAGTATCATATTTTCTTGCTAAAGATGTACATACATAATTTTTTTTATATATATTCAGTACCTTAATTTTAAGCATTTATTTAATTTATTTTGGCACGAATAATGTCTGTAATAAGGTCAAATGTATATGTATATGGAACTTGTAATGTTCGGGTGTAATTAAGAGAGCTTGGTGACACTCGACTTTGTTAATCCAAGGTTCAAAGACTTAACAGGCCTTCATTAGTTATCAATTTATTTCATAGTTTTTATATATATATATATATATATATATATATATATATATATATATATATATATATTTTTTTTTTGTTACTGGAAAGAGTACGAGAAAATTAATAATTTGAACAAAATGAATGGTACTTTAAAGGAAAAAATTTTGAAAATTTAGCTATTAAGCACCTTCAAACTATTTCAATGAGGTTAATACCTATTTGATATTTAAGACTATTCAATATAATACCTACCTTCAATAAGTGATGTCAATTTTGTAAGACTTTATTTTTGAGCTAGATTATTTATATACAAATCCTTTTCAGGAGATTTGGTTATTTGAACTCAGGGGGCCTCAAAACCTTTATTTCCATTAAAAATACTGATTTAAATTTTTTCATGAGCACAATACTTTCCCTTACTTTATATTTCATTTATAAGTAAGTGAAATTAAAAAAAAATTGAAAAGGAAAAATAATGATAATGATAATAAATTAATACCTAAAGTTAAAACTTAAAAATTGGTAACAACCATAGGGTTCTTATTAACTTCTAATTAAACTTTTAATCTTAAATTAAGATAATACGATTAGAGAGCATCTATTTGGGATGTGAAGGTGCTTTGGAAAAAGAGGGATTTAAATGAAAATAAGGAAGTAGGGAGAGAATTCCACAGAGTAGTAAAGGTGGGCTTAACAGACATGTTCAAATGTGTTAGTTTTGTGCAATAAGTTATAGAGGACAGAAAGAAGAAATCTTGTAATCAGATCAATCACCAATGCACACGCCAGTCTGGTTATGGCAGATAAAGGTATAATTCGGTAAGGAATCAGAAGAAGAGGAGATTTATAAACAGAATATGATGAAAAGATGCCAGAAGTTTAACAATACAATAAATAAAATAAAATATGAAAAGAAGTAAATAATAAAATGTCTAATTTATTCTAAAAACCGTGTTCAAGGTTAAATCATGCTATTTCTTGCAACTATTTCAGTTTTCATATAATTGTTCCATAAACCAGGCCTTATTGATGGTGCATATTAGTAAATGTTAAATTATTACATCAGGAAATCTGTTTGAAAACTAATTTCTAATATCCAGGATCATTTCTGTTATTAATTTTTTGTCAATGCAAGCCTTGTCTGTAATATTGGTCATTATTGTCGTAATATTATTTCAATATTTTAGGTTTGGGATAGAATCTGTGACCATGGAAGGACATGCATCTAATGGAAATGGTCCTTATGTTACACTGCATCATGTTGGCAGGTTTGTTAAATATTATATTTATATTACACCCTTTTATTATATATAAGGATTCTCATAAGCAATCTCTGTTCTGCAATCATCATTAATTTCTGAAATAATATTTGCTACCTGATATAAGTTATGTTTATATTGGATTTTCCGGAAAAGAATGCAGGATTTTGGTTTAAAAAGAAAAAATAAAGATTTACAAATGTTTTATTTAATAAAAATAGTCTACACTACTATCAATAAATTTCTGCCAACGTGTTGGCAACTTTTCCATTCTCTCAAAATAGAATTTCCCTTCTTTAGAATTGATAAACTTCAAAAATGAATTTTATAATTTCCTGTCTAAAAAAATGATAATCTGTAGCTGAGAGGCCTGGAGAGTAGGGCAAATGTGGGATAGATTATTAAGTATAAATAACTCTATAAGAAAAGAAAAAAAATTAAGAAGAGAAATTTAGAATGTAAGTATAAATGTAAAACAAGGTTATGATGATAAAAAACAAGTTGTACTATATATAGATAAAAAAAAATATATATATTCTGGGACTAAAGTCCCCTTAGAATAATAACAGAGTTACAAATTTATGGGTCTTAATCTGGCTTAAGTAATTTTATATGTTTGCGGAAGTTTGAAGTGGAGTAGGTGGTGGAACAGGAGTTGTTTGAAGGAATTTGTGAACGAGGATTGATGTATGGAGGTAGGAAGAGAGTTCCAAAAGGAGGTAGCATGAATGACGAAGGATTTGCTGAAGGAAGTAGTTTTATGGGAGGAAATATATAAATATATAGGTTGAGACCTGGTATTAAGAGAATGGATAGAGGAACATTGAGGTTTTTGGTTCTGAGGACTTGGAAAAGGAAAACACCAAGGAGGGATTGTTGTCAGGAAGTAAGATAAAGCCAGTTCAACTCGGTGTACCAGAATGAAACATTTGAATGCCTTGGGATCTCGAAGATGTATCTTATGAAACAGTTCATGAGTTTCTTCAGTCTTATTTCTAGCCTGGCAGATAGTCCTTCATACACCAAACAGCCATATTAAAAGTGAGGGAATATAAGGGAAGTTACAAGGAGCTGTCTGGTTTTTAGAGGAATACAATCACTGAATCTTAGAAGTTGTTTAAGGCCAGTTATGAATTTTCGGGTAATCTGGGAGATACGGTTATTCTAGGAGAGGTTCTGGTCAAAAGTTACTCTTAAGTTTTTGATTGTAGGGAAAAAATGGATGGGACGGCTATTGAAGTTAAGTAGAGGAAAGTAAGGAAGGGAGCTAATGAGATGTCTGGACCCAATGAGAATAGCCTTAGTTTTATCTGCATTCAGCTTTAATTAATTTATTTCTGCCCATCTGTTGATGCAGGTGATATCCTCTTGCAGCTTTCGGACAGCCTCAGGCATCTCAGAAGATTGGAATGATTGGTAAATTTGGAAATCATCGGCATATAGGAGGTAACAAGAGTGTTGAATGGCGTCAAAAAGGTCACTAATATAAATTAAGAAAAGGGTTGGAGAGAGTGAGGAACACCTCTTGTTAGTTGAAGGGGTAATGATGGAGATTTGTTTGGAATTACAACTCTCTGAAATCGATTGGATAAGAAGAACCATTTCATGGACGTTATTTGATATGGGCAGGCTTTGGAGTTCTAAAAGAAGGATCTCATGATTGACAGAATCAAACGCTTTGGAAAAGTAAAAAAAGATTAGGATGGAGATTTTCTGTTTATCTATGGCGGATTGGAGGTCTTGGGTAATCCTTAGCAGGGCAGACTGGGTGGAATAATGGGAACCAAAACCAGATTGTAAAGGATTGAAGAGATGGTTTTGCTCGAGAAAGCTGTTCAACTGAGAGTGGACTAATCTTTCTAGAGGCTTGGATAGATTGCATAAAATGGAGATAGGTCTGAAGTCGGAAGCTGATGAAGGAGTAGGAACTTTTTCTAATTAATGCTGCTCTCGCCCCCAGACTTGATTGAGGTTTCTGGCCTTCCGGACCCTATTCCGGCCGAGTTTAACCCTTTGACTGTGGGAGCTTGTTTGCGAGTTTCCACTGTATTTTACATCCTGAAATACGCAAAAATGTCCAAAATAAATGGATTTCTTTTTTTTTTGCATAACTTTTTCTAAAATGTTATTTTGAGTCACCCTGCAAGATCTTAGCTTTCAAAAATTCATTTTAACATTTTTATTCAACTTTTAAAAAGTGGGATATATGCCTCCCCGGTCGCATTTGACAATACAAAATTAGAGCAGCAATCCTGCAACACTTCGTTTTCTTTCTTATTTGCATATTTCTGAAAAGAAAAATAATTTAAAATTATCCTAAAAATAACTAAGTGATCTTAAAAATTAAATTATATTATTTCTTTAAAAGGGCACAGATGGTGGTATTTGAATTATATATTTTTAAAAAGTTCGATTTAGAAAATAGCTCAGTTATAAATTTTATTATTTATTTTGGGTTTCAAACACTTTTATATTATATGAAATATATACTCTGACAGGCAAAAAATTCCACCCAATTGATTTTTTCTTGTTTTCATCTAAAAATATTTCTGCTTTGGATTGGTCTATTGTTTTTAATGAATAAATAGGTAATCTTTTTGTTTGTTTTCAATTAGGAATGTTAATATAGAGGACAATAACCATTAATCCTTAATTTAATGAGGTGATTCTAGATTCCAATGTTTACTTTCTATGGAATCAAAATGTTTATTCAGTATCATTAGTTCAGTGCCATTTCTTAGTCTCCGGCTTTTAATTTTTTCAATATTAAGTTTAAAAATGCCTCTTAGTGCTGAGGATGTTGCACATGGTGTGGCACTTATTGATGATGGGCGTTCCATTAGATATGCAGCTAATGCCATCGGAGTTCCATATGAAACTTTACGAGACGCCGTCAGGCGTTTTCCGGAAACTGATTCTTACAATAGAAGACCCGGTTCTGGACGGCCTAGGGTAACAGAACCACGGGATGACTGGTTTTTGACTTTGAGAATTTTACGAAACCGGCACCTTACCGTTGTTCAAGCGATTCATCCGCTCGAAGAAGTTCGAGGTGTGCAAATTTCTGAACGTACCGCTCGGAAAAGATTAAATGAGTATGGATTAGCTTTTCATCCAGTAAGAGGACCAGAACTCACAGAGTAACACGGCTGGCTTTTGCTCGAGAACTCCATTATTTTCTGGACAACCCAATATTATAATTTATAAGCTATTGTATAACAAAATGTTAAAATTAGTTATGATATTCAAATACAATATTTCTATTTTATTGATATTTAATCTTGAAAACCTTCAAATTATTGTGATTGCTCAATCCACCTCACAACACCATATATTAAACTGATTGATGATATTTTTCATAAAAAAGTAGATTTTGATATGATAATATCTTTTAATTTGCTAGAGTAACGGAGAAGTGATGAAAACTAAGTTGCCGCATCACCACTATGCTGAATTGCCTAGTTTTGCCAGTAAAGTAAGTGGCCATTTGCCTAATGGCTAGCTGTTACACTATATCTTGGATTTTATTATTCTCTAATATACATATTTTAAATATTCCAATGTATTCAACATAGATTACAGAGCTGATGCTGGATTCAGAAGTTGTTTTAGAATGACAATACAGATTTTGAAAATTTACTGAGAAATTAATAACTAAGAAAAATACAATATTTAAAAATTTTCTTTCAATTTAAATTTTTTTAAAGTTAAATTATATGATTTTTTTTTCTTAAAGAAGATGTAAGCTTATATATATATATCAATGAGTTAAATTTTTAATATATTATCCTCTCCAATCCAAAGTCTTCTTAAAGGCAGAGTAAACTAATAAGACTTTTGTTTGAAGGTTATTGATCTGCTCGTTCCTATTTCTACCCACTTGCTAATCTTTAAAAGTTCCCTACCTATCCTGAATCAAGCATTTAACTGAGTGCAACACACCAATTTTAGTTTCTTAGGATAAAAACTCATTTTTCACAAATTATTTATCTAATATTTTATCTCTATTTTTTTAACTGTTCTCCTTAGCCTTATTCTTTAATTTTTACTTCCAGAGTAATTGAAGGTTTGTTTCGAAGCATCAATAACTTATTAGAACGTTTCCACCAATCTTACTTTTTTTATATTATGACAGACACAGATAGATTCGCCAGCATAGGTGAGTATTATTATAAATAATTGTTTATATTCTATAATAGTTTGATATTATTGATTTGAATAGCATTTTTAAATCATATGTAAGTAACCCTTTCCAAGTTGAAGGTAAACCTTTCCAAATGAAATTTTTATTTATTTTTTTGGTTGGGGAGAATACCGTAAATTAAATTATCTTCACAGGAATTTGATTCCATCAGAAGTCATTCGTTCTGGACTTGAGGATAGAAGAGAGAGAGTCTTCAAAGAAAATATTTATAAATCTAGGAGGTGTTTCAGATGAACACGAAACCCGGATGATTACATCTCATTCAAGTTCCTTCGAAACCTTACCCAATCTTCCTTCTGCCTTGCTAAGGCACAATTCTTCCGTAATAACTTACCTCATGTCCAGATGGAAAATCTTTAAAACTCTATCCATAGTAGATTCAAAAATCTGTATTATTTTCCTGTTGCACCTGATCAACTAAATCCCTAATTTGTTGATTCTATCCCAGTACTGTTCTCGTCCTCGTCCTCATACTGTATTCCAAAAACTTTTTTTAACTCTGAAAATTTCTATTTTTGAAATATTTCACTCTAGGATCTACTTTTCTCTGTTGTAAAATCCAGAGGGAATGAATATGGCCTGGTTCTAATTTCTGTGAAGTTAGTCAAACTGTGTCTTCCTGTATTTTTTTATATCTATAATTTTTCCTTTCAAAATTTTCACGCATTCAAAGAAGCTTCAGATCTGTTTGGGAAAACGTCATGATTAGTTCACTTAGCTAAGTCCCTCTAAATTTTCCAACTTTAGACCCATCTCCATTCTCTCCAATCTTTCTAAACAACTTGAAAACTAGTCCATTTTCACCTTAATACCTTTCTTAAGCAAAAACCTGTCCTTAATTCCCCTTCACTCTAGTTTCCTATCCAAATTTTTTACTCAATCTGCTTTGCTAAAAATTACGCAAGACCTTCAATTCTTCACAGAAAATCTCTGTCCTGGTTTTTCTTCATTTCTCAAAAGCCTTCAATTCAAGTAATCATGAAATCCTCCTTTCCAAATTCTCTTTATTATATTACACCATCTGGGATAATGCTCCTTTCACCAACCCTTTTCTCAGTCTATATCAATGACCTCCCTGATTCCTTTCACAATACTACTTATATGCTGATGGCATCCAGGTCTACAAGTTCTTTCATCCTACTGAGATGGTTGAGGTGATCTGAAGGTTTCAAGAAAATATAGAGAATATCAGTGCATGGACAGCTAGCAATGATTTGGGGCTAAACATTGAGAAGACCAAAGCCATTATCATTGGGTCTAAGCATCTTCTTAATTCCCTTCCTTATTATTCCCTACTCTACCTCAATGACCTACCTATTCGCTTCCACACTTCCGTTAGAAACTTTGGAGGTAATGTTTGATTAATACCTGTCCTGGAATAATCATATTTCCCAAATTATCAAAAAATCTGTTGCTACCCTTAAATAGTTTCTGAGATTCTGTGATTCTATCCCACTTAAAACCCATTGGCTTCTAATTTCCTCTATTAATTTCCCTACTTTGAATATGGCTGCTTGGTATATGGCCGACTGTCTGGTGGGCATGAGGTTAGACTGAAAATGGTAATGATTTGTTTCATTAGATTCATCTGCAGAGTCCCTAGGCGCATGCTCTCCCGTCTCCAGTCGGTATTCCAAGTTGAAGTGGCTATATCCAGTTTCTTGACGACAATATTTCCTAGATGCGTTCCTTTTCCAGATCTTTACAACCAGAAAACTTTCTTACCTTCTTGATTTGTTCACTCCTTGTTCCTCTGTCTATTCTTTCAACACGAGATTCCAGCCCACAAACCTGTGTATTCCTTCTCATAGAACTGTTTATTTTGAAAAATTCCTTAATAATGTGTGCTATCTTGTTTTGGAATACCTTACTTACCTCCTTAGGCAAAACCTCATCTTTGATTTTATTTAAACACCAATTTTTTTTCCATCTTCTCAGCCCTCAATGTTCTGAATATATGTAAAAATTAAATATTCGTATTCTACTGTTGCCAACTTTATTCTATTGTTATTCTACTGTTATTTCACAGTTATTGTTTCTATTGCTTACCTTGCAAATATTTAAACCCACAGACATCTATTTACCTATAATTTCATGTGTTTACTTAGACTAGTTTTTTTTTTTTTCATTTTAATGTTACATAACTTTGAAATCTAATTATTATCTGTCTGCCATTATGTTCCAGAAAAATCTAAATGTAATAGCTATTGTTCATTTTTATTATTCTTACAGGACTAAATATCCCAGAATAAAATTTACTTTTCTTCTTCTAATATTAATAGATATAAATAGATAGGTTCTAAAGATTGGGATAATGAATTGAGAAAAGGATTTAGTTTTTCAGAGTTCAGTGACTCAAAGTTTTGCCAGGAAATTTATGTAGAAATGAACTTAGGACTTGAGACATAAGAAGGAAATCTCGATGAGATCATGCCATGAAAAAAAGATATTGGATTCTGAGAGGAGGATAATAAGTTTTGAGAAGAATCTATTATAAAAAGGACGAGCCATATACTTGAGTACTGAGTATGGGGAGTGGGTAGAAATATGTATATAAAGAGTTGTCATTTTTAATTTCATGAAAGTTCTTGCCCTATATACACCGACAGGTGAAAAATTCCACCCACTTGATTTTTTCATGTTTTCATCTAAAAATGTTTCTACTTTAGATTGGTCTATTGTTTTTAATGAATAAATAGGTAATCTTTTTGTTTGTTTTCAATTAGGAATGTTAATATAGATGACAATAACCCTTAATCCTTAATTCAATGAAATGATTCTAGATTCCAATGTTTACTTTCTATGGAATCAAAATGTTTATTCAGTATCATTAGTTCAGTGCCGTTTCTTGCAGCACATTTCTTGGTCTCCGGCTTTTAATTTTTTCAATATTAAGTTTTTAATATGCTGATGACACATGTATCCTATCAGTCAATAACGACCCATCTATTGCATCCCAAACCCTTCAATCCCACATCACAAACCTGGAAGAATGGTGTCAGAAATGGAGAATTAAAATAAATTCCAATAAATCCCATCAAATTACCTTCACCCTTCGTCGTAAACCAATGACTTCCTGTCCTTCAGTATCCTTTAACAACACCTCACTTATTCCTGTTGAACAAATCCGTTACCTAGGACTCCATCTGGACAAACGTCTAACTTGGAATCCTCATACCAGACTGAAACGACAAGAAACCGCTCGACGTTTCCGACTACTTCAACACTTACTAGACAAACGCTCTAACCTTCCAATCAATTATAAAAGACTGATTTACATGACTATAATAAGGCCTATTTGGACTTACGGGGTTGAGCTATGGGGCTCCACCAAGCCTTCAAATTCCTCTCGCATACAGTCCTTGCAATCCAAAATCCTTCGTAAAATCCTCAATGCTCCTTACTTTGTTACAAATAAAATTATCCATAATGACCTTAATGTTCCTTATGTATCAGATTTGGCCCAATCCAGATATCTGTCCTTCCATAATAAACTTCATAACCATCCCAACCCTCTTGTCTCTAACCTTGCTTCCTATTCGATTCCTGATAACCCTCCGAGGCGTCTGAAAAGAAGATGGCCACGTGATCTTCTAATATAGACATATTATTAGAGTGCTACCAATGGGTAGTTTCTCAACATGTGTTCCATGTCTTTATACCAATGTGCAAATTTACTAGATGTATTTTTTTTTATACAGTTGTAAATATCATTTAAAATAAAAAAAAAAAAAAAAAAAAAGTTTTAAAATGCCTCTTAGTGCTGAGGATGTTGCGCGTGGTGTGGCACTTATTGATAATGGACGTTCCATTAGATATGCAGCTAATGCCATCAGAGTTCCATATGAATCTTTACGAGATACCGTTAGGCGTTTTCGGGAAACTGGTTTTTACAATAGAAGGCCCGGTTCTGGATGGCCTAGGGTAACAGAATCACGGGATGATCAGTTTTTGACTATGAGAATTTTACGAAACAGGCACCTTACCATTGTTCAAGCGATTCACAGCTCGAAGAAGTTTGAGGTGTGCAAATTTCTGCACGTACCGCTCGGAGAAGATTAAATGAGTATGGATTAATGGCTTTTCATCCAGTAAGAGGAACAGAGTTGACCAGAACTCACAGAGTAATATGGCTGGCTTTTGCTCGAGAACACAGCCATTGGACTATGGATGAATGGAGTGCTTTACTTTTTACAGATGTGTCAAGATTTGCTCTTCGATCTCCAGACGGGCATGAAAGGGTGTGGAGAATAAGAAACGAAAGATATGCAGCCTGTAATTTTTCCCCGAGCCAACCTTTCCAACGTGGTTCCTTAATGGTGTGGGCTGGGATTTCAATGGAGTGCCGCACAGAATTGGTTGTTGTTCTTGGAGGGTCTTTGACGGCCGTTCGCTATGTTGATGAGATTTTGGAACCTCATGTGTTGCCTATCCTCAACGAAATCGAGATCTTTCTATTCTAATACACGATAATGCACGCCCACATGTCGCCCGCATAGTGCAGATGTTCCTTCAACAGAAAAATATTGAGATTTTAGCCTGGCTAGCACGTTCTCCAGATTTGAACCCCATTGAGCATTTATGAGATAACCTCAGAAGACGAATAAGAGCGCGTGCAACACTTCCTGACACACTGCAGGACCTTGAAAGGGCTCTTCGGGAGGAATGGGCTATCCTCCAGCAAAGAAACATTTCCCGACTGGTGGAAAGTATGCCAAGGCGTCTTCAAGAAGTAATGAAGGCAAGAGGAGAAAACACGTGATACTAAACGATGATGCAATTAATTTCTTTTAGAATAATAATGGTTCGTTTTTTAATTTTTTTTCTCTAATCTTTCTTGCCCAATCACATTTTGATTATTAAAGGTAAAGCAGATAATAAAATTCTATAAATATTAAGTGTTATCTACAAATACCATGTATTATGTACAAATAGAACTTTTTTTACAAGTGGCAGAAATATTTTTAGATGAAAACATGAAAAAATCAAGTGGGTGGAATTTTTTGCCTGTCAGTGTATTATATATTTATTAATCTAACCTTCTTATGCATGTTATTTATTAAGCTCATAAATTGTCAATTGTATCCTGTTAATATTAATTTTATTTATGTTTAAGGCTTATATATGCCTTGCAATGGGATGCTTATTGCTGCATTGTTCATAAGAGCATTTTCATTATATGTTGATATGCGACTTGAAAGGGAAGATGCTTCTCAGGTAATTCATTAAACAACCCATAATCCATTATTGATTGTTGAAGTTAAATTTAATGATTTTTTTACTATTACAGGATGTAGATCCAAATATAGCTGGAACATGCACTATGTTTCTCATAGCTCATGCTATAGGATTTATGGCGGATGCTGGTTCCAATATTGTTTCAGTGCTAACATTTGCAAACTCTCGCATCAGGACAATGGCTGTCTACTCTGTCTTGTCTGCATTTTCATTCATAATTCCTCTATTAGTCTTTCCCAGGTATTTAATATTTAATAAGTTCAATAAGTAGTTGTTTAGTGGAAATAATAATTGTGAGCAGGATGCTAAAAACATCTGACTGAGTAACTTAAATATTATTTACATTTATAAAAGACCTCAATGTTCCATATGTTTCCGATTTGGCCAAATCCAGATACCTATCCTTTCATAGTAAACTTCATAACCATCTGAATCCTCTTGTTTCTAATCTTGCTTCATCTTCTATTCCTGATAACCCTCCGAGGCGTCTGAAAAGAAGATGGCCTCGTGATCTCCTCATGTAGACAAATTATTAGAGTGCTACCAATGGGTAGTTTCTCAACAAGCGTGTTTCATGTGATTATATTCCTCTGTACACATTTACTTGATGTATTCATACTAATACAGTTGTAAATATCATAATGAAAGTTAAAAAAAAAAAAAAAAACATTTATAAAAGAAAGAGACCACTCATTCACTGATTTAGTGTTCACCCTTTCTCAAAACTCAGTGCCTATGAAGCTAAAATTTTATTAGGTCGTTTCCCTCATGCTGTAGATATAGAATAAAGCTCTGGGTTTAAAAAAAATGATATTCTATGTGGTTAAAAATAAAAATTATTTCTTTAACCTAAAAAAAAAAAAATTCTTCAAATAAATTGAAAATTATTTGTCTCCTTGAACATTATAGCTAACTAACTAACTCCCTGTCGCTACAGGCCAGCATGACTCTTGGCCTCCTGAGTTATTTTTCTCCACTTCTCTCTGTCCTGTGCTTCTCTCTTCCAATTTCATCCTAACTTCCTCACGTCTCCACTTCATCCTTCCATCTGCTTCTCAGTCTTCCTGTTCTTTATCTGATGGCTGTACTGTTTTTCATATCTTTGGCGAGTTTCAGGACTCTTCAACTTGCTTGCTTGATTTTTTTGCTAATCATCCTCCTTACTGTGTAGCTATTAGAGATTCTAGCTTGTATTTTTGATATTGCAAAGTTATGATCCGAATCCATGTAAGCGCCACGAAAGGTTCTGCTGCTGATGAGGTTGGATTTGTGACGAGACGATATGAGCAGATGGTCAATTTGGTTAAATGTTTTACCATCTAGAGACTTCCAAGTGTTTATGTGAATCCGTTTACCAGAGAATAAGGTACTCCCAATAACTTAATCCCTTGATAAAGCAAAGTTGATTAATCTTTTTCCATTCTCGTTACTTTCTTCATGGAAGCTCCATTTCCCAATCGGAGGGCGATATATTTCTTCCTGGCCAACCTTGGCATTAAAGTCTTCTAGCAGAAATTTTACATCACTTCGAGGGCACCTGTCGAGCTATCTCTCTCCAATACATATACATCATAGAAATCTTCTTTTTCTTCCTCATTTGATTCTTCTGTGGGGCATGGCGATCAATCAGGCTTATGTTATAAGAGTCCTTTGAGCCTTAGTCTACAGAGCCTTGGACTTATGGCAGCATTATGTATGACTCGTTTTCTCATTCTTCCTCTTAAAACTAACCTGTTGCCAAATGTCCGGTTTTTACTATGGCAGCTGTAATGAACTGTGTGATATCTTTTCTCCGGAATTCCTGTTCCTGTCCAACAAATTTTTTGGATTGCAGTAAGGCCAATCTTATTACTGTCAATCTGCTTAAGGAGGGCTTGAAGTCCTCCGGGTCTATTAAGTGTTAAAATGTTCCATTGTCCAATTATTACGTCCTTATGACCGTTTCTATGTCTTTTACCATTAATCAATCTGGCATTTGACCTGAGTAAGGTGGAGGGACTGCCTCCTTGGAGCATCCTGACGCACTCCCTACCTATGGGAGGTGACCCTAAGGTGTTTACTGTTATTGACCTTAGTGTATAATAGGGGGGTGTGTGTAGTGTGCTATAATCTGTGTACTGTGTGAGTGTCAGTGTACTGTTTCCTCAACCTGGAGGGCCAGTGACTATCTGCAGTACTTTGACCAAGCGATGGGACCGCATACGCCATGTTTATAAATAATGGCTAAACATATTTTAATTATGTACTTCATAAACACAAAGTATATACCCTTCATGGATCAATATCGAACGTGCAAGCTTGTTCAGAAAACTATTATAATTACAAAAATAACCTCGGTTCAGTTTTCAAAAACAATCATGAAATTTAGCAGAATATTTAAAAGTGCTTTAACTAATGATCCATTGAAGATAAATAAGTAAAAAAATGTATAAACTTTTAAAGAAAATACAATTTTCTGAAACTTTCTTTCAGTCAGTTTTCTCCTGTGGAGTGTATTATATATACAATGTGATGTGAGTAGAATTACTAGAATTGAAAAGTAATATCTACTGGCAGTAAGACAGACTGCTATTTAAACAGCTCTGAGAATCTCATTATTAGCTCAATTAATTCAATAATAATTCTTAATTTTCAAATTGTTTCATCGTTCTCTTTTGTTAACAATTTTTAAAAACTTTGATTTTATTAATAATAGCTGTAAAATATTTTGTTTCAGATTCAAAGGAAAGGACTGGTCGATGCTGCATATTCTTAGTCTTGTATACCTTGGAACTTTACTTATGTGTGTTGGGATGTCAAATTTTAGTTTTGCTTATCTCACTGGCCTTGTAATTACACCAATTTCTCTTCTTTTATATCCTGCATCTAAGAGGTGAAGTATTATTTTTTCATATAGCTAGGGATGTGATATTATATACATTGATACTTTTCTTTCAGTATTACCGAATATCATATTGCAAAATGGGATTCGATATTATCATAATATTAAAAGAAAAATACCAATTTCAGATTTCAATATCACACATCATCTTATTTTTTTCTTTATATGTTTAAATAAATATTTTTGATTAAATTTTTTTTCAAAAACTTAATTACATAAATACATTTAATTAAGTAAGAGTATTTAAATACTTATAATAGGCTGTATAAAAAAAAAACTTTTCAACCAAATGTTAGTATTATTATTTCATTGGTATAAAATACAATTAATACTCAAAGTATAGTCCATTGTTATCTAGCATCATAAGCCATCTGCTAACCAATTGCTGTGTCCCACGCTGATACTATTCTTTGGGATAGCTGTCAAATAACTCTTGGACAGCAATTTCAACTTCTGCAAAATTATGAAATTTTTTTCCTTGAAGAGAATGGGCCATAGATCTAAATAAGTAGTAATCCAATGGTGCGAGGTCTGGACTATGTGGTGGATGAGGCAGCAGTTCGGACCCATGAAGTTCTTTAAAGTTTTCTTTGGTTCAACGGGAAGTGTGAGGACGGACATTGTCTTGTTGGAATAACATTCCTTTTTGATTAATCAAAGCAGGATAACGCTCTTACAACTTTGCGTACAATCTTTCCGGTTGTTTACAGTAGAGTTCAGAATTCACAGAGCATCCATCAGGAACAAATTCGTGATGGATAACACCTTAAAAATAAAAAAAAAACGCAAAGTAGTTTGACCGTGATCTAGCTATTGTTCACGGCTATTCGGATTTCTCCAGTAAACTCACTTTTCATCACAGGTGACAATCTTCTGGTAAAATCCCATATCAGAAGGTTTTTTTGATAAATTTTCACTATTTTCTAACCTCTTAGCTGATTGCTGAGGAGCAAATTCGTGAGGGACCAGTCTACTGGTTTTTTTTTCACCTTCCCCATGGAGAGTAGATGGTGACTAACAGAATTTTTCGACACACTCTCTGGCAAGGCGAGCACTTATGGAGGGATTTGACTCAACAGCTTCCTGCAGAATCTCATCAATATCCATTAATGGTCACCCAGAGTCCTTCTTCCTTTCCTTTTAAATTTTTCAAACAAACACCGCTTCCTCTTCATATTTAATAATTTCACGAGTTGCTTCGGCGGCTGTGAAATGTTTTTTCCAGTAATCCCTTAAAATTACAAGAATTTCTTAGGGCACTGTCATGTTTCTTCTTTGAAACAAATAACTAACTAAGGCTTTTTTTGAAGAAGTCAAATGGGATTAAACAAGCTTAGAGAATGCTCTTAAGGGATTATTAAGTATTAAATAGGATTGAAATATTTACAGTCCTTTGAAATCTTGAATTTGATTAAACAGTAATTTTTTTATATATCCTATTATTTTGTATTTAACTAATACTGGTGTTCTGAAGTAAACCATTATGTAAAACAATTTAAGAAATAAAAAGAAAATCCTGATAAAATTTTAATCTTCGTTCTATGCCCATTTTTGGCGCACTAGTCCTAGCAATCTATGGTAATAACACTAGGGATAAATGAGAACAATTAGGAAAACAAACTGGACCAGATACGATTCGTAGAATATTAAAATAATATGGATTTAAAGCCAGAATGAATAGAAAAAGAGCTCTCATAAATTTAATGATTAAGAAAAAAGTTTTGCCTTCACCAAATAACTTATTAAAAAAAAAAAAACTCAAGTTGGTGGAATTATGTAATTTATTCAGATGAGAACAATTTTCTATTCTATCAATTTCTATCAAACTATTCTATCAATAGCGTAGAAGAAAGTTGGAAAGGGATTTGAGCTGAACTATGAAAGGTAGAGTCTGGAATGTTCTTGTAAAATCACATATGTGTGGTTCGAAGTTGGGACTTTGGTTTTTATCAATAGAATAATGCAGAATTATGAATTTAGAATAATTAAAAAGAAAAGGACTAGTAAGTCAAGAATGGGAATAAAATGAACATTCAAATTTTACCTCAATAGTAACGCTTAGTCCCTAGCTCTTCTCATATGGGAATGATTGCTATATAATTATCCAAATGAATATTGAACTCCCTTCCAAAGTCCAGATTTTATTCCCATCGAACATTTATCGGCTTATGTCGAATCACAGCTCGGAATTCTAAATATAACATCAATAAAATATCTTAAAACTAAATTGTTGGAAGCAGTGCCGGCCTTAGGACTGGACAACCAAGGCAATTACCATGGGGCACCAACCTGGAGGAGCACCCATTGGTGGTGCCGATCATCAAGGGCACTGTTCCTTTGTTAGAATTTTAAAAAAAAAATACAAAACCTATTAAAATAATTAATGTTAGCCTATTAATAAGCCAAAAAAGTAGTTAGAGTGGCAAATAAGAAAAGTTGGGAGGAATTTGTTCAGAGTCTCCAAAATAACTATAAAGAAAACATAAAAACCTTTAGGAAAACTACAAGGCATTGAAATGCGAGGAAACAGGTGAGGAAAGGTTATTACCAGAAGAAGATTTCGATGATATAATCTGGGAAGAGGATGTGGAAAGGGCTATAGAAAAGCTGAAGACAGGAAAAGCAGTAGGGAGGGATGGCATTGCCCCAGAGTTAATTAAGTTTGGAGGATCAGAACTGCAGAAGCACCTGCAGGACGTCTTTCGAGCAGCTTTTTCTAAAAAAACTGTGCCGAAGGAGTGGGAGTATAACATCCTCATTCCTATACACAAGAAAGGAAGCTCTAGTGACTGCAAGAATTACAGGTTGATCAGTGTCTTATCCTGACATACGGCTCATAGTCATGGGTAATATCACGGATGGATGAGCGAAGTTTGTTGGCTTTCGAAAGAAGAATTCTGCAGCGCATTTATGGACCTAGAAGAATCTATCAAAAATACCTCAGGAGAGGTAATCAAGAAATATACAACCCCTTTGTTGAACCTGCCATTGTGAAGTATATAAGGCTGGGAAGAATGAGGTGGGCTGGCCATGTAGCGAGAACGAGATCCCCAGAAAAATAATTATCGTAGCCATTCATTGTACCAGATATAAAGGAAGACTGCGTCTTAGATGAGTTTATGGCATATCAGAGGATGTCTGGACAATCCTGGGGGCCTGGGATTGGAGAACTGCTGTCCAACAGCATGCAGACTGGCAGAAGTTAATGGAGGCAGCCAGAGATCAGTAATGGTCTGTCAAGCCAATAGAAGAATAATAATAATAAAGCAACTGTAAAAGAGGATCAGTGAATGAAACAAAATTCAAATATTACATAATATAAAATAGCTTAAGAAATAAATTTAATTTTTTTAGGAGGAGGGGAGATGACGTCATTACCTGAGGGCACCGAATATCTAAGGCCGCCACTAAATAGAAGTATATTAAAATCAGAAGAAAGAGTATAATAAAAGAAATAGCTTTCATTTGGCTGTTTAAATCTACATTTATTTATTCTGAGCTACTTCCCATCAATTTTTGAGCACCTGCTTTAGGATGATGTTGTGATCACACCATATATACATAGAATATAATAAATTTATGAGAAAAAAAATTAAATAATAGTACTTAAAAAAAATAAATATAAACTTATTGAGGAATAGTCAGATATTTATTCTTTATCAGGAACTTCAAATCAATCATTTCCCCCATCCAGAAGATCCTAGCACTTCTTGCTCAACTGTGTCACTGATATTAAAAGCCAGAAGTGGTTGAGTGAGAGCACTTATGTAAAGATTGTAAATCACAAATTTTATAATTTCAGAATGCTACTGCTTTAATTTTTTAAAAATAAATAAAAACCTGATTTAAATGTAGCAAAAAGAGTTAAAATATATCTTATAATAACCATGAAAAAATGTACATTAAAACTGGCTATAGTATATAGTAAAATATCCAGGGAAAATGTGTAACAAAAATCAACTGAAGGTTGTAATTTATATCTAAATTGGTTTAGTTAAGAGTTATAATTATAATTTATTTATTTTTTTTAGAAGAAAAAACATATGTAAACTAAATAATCATATGTTTTACACAGCATTGTTTTAGAACTAAATAATTCTTAAAAATGTATAAACTTAATTGTGAAATATAATACTTTTATTTTTTATTATTTCTTTTTTTTATGATAATCAGGTTTGGTGTTTCAGCTTGCTGATGTTTTGGCCCAAACTTTAGGTTAGGACAAAAAATTAAAAGTTACATCAGAAATATAAGATTTAGACAGAATTCAAGAAAAAAGGACAAATATTACACATAAGATAATAGTAATATGAGCATAAAATAATAGTACACCAATAGAAAAATTTACTTACTTTTTATTACTTTGTTCTTATTCTAAATAAAGCAATGAAAAGTAAATGGACTGTTATTTTGTGCTTTTATATACAAGATGAGATAATGGATATGATGGCTAAGAAAATGTACACTGTAGTAATCTTTGTTCTCTTTGTTGATTCACCCTCTACTTATAGATGAGAATTATAAGTTATTATTTTGTTTTCATAATTGATATTATTATATATTTATTTGTATACCGACTGAGAAGCTAAAATAAGACATTTTTGTTTTAGGCATTGGAAATTTATTTTATGGATCTTAATTCATCCTTTGGTACTTTTATTGATTGTTGTTTCATCTGTCAAACTTTACAGAGGTTTTGATACTGTATCAATTGTAGAGGCTTTAGGTATGTACCTGTATTGTATTTTTCATACGTTGCCTATTTTAATTTTAGTCACATATGATTGAGTATTTATGCAATTTTTACAATGCATGTATGAGTTTTTTCTAAGATGATTTCATAAAAGGAATATTTTTTACTTCAATTGTTTAATCCTTTGACTGCGGATGGGATACATGCCTTTCCGTTAAGAGTTGGGTCAGTAGTGAGAGTAGTGAGTTAGGTCACTGATGTAGCCAGGGTATATGCTTTCCTGCGTAGGCAGTCGCCACTTTAACAGGTAGGGGGAAGTCCCGCCTTGACCATTTGACTTGTTGCTTGGTCAGTGCATTCAGTAGTCCCCTGTAGCTGACCTGTGGTCATTCTGGATTCTGACTATTTGGAAGCTATCAGTTGCAAATTTATTCTGAACCCAAGGTATGTCCTTTCTGTTATTTGTATCATATCCATGATCTTATTTATAATAATAATAATAAAAGGCTTAGCGAACCCTGAGGTTCTATATCGACACGACCAATCGCTTATTACCCACCTCCCTCCACCGTCCCTCCAAACCTAGTCCCTTAAGATTGGCTTCAACGCAATCTTCCCACCTTCACTTCGGTCTACCTTTCGAGCGTCATCTTGTGGTACACCAGTTGCAATAGAGAATTTATTACTGAGGTTACCTCCAACTGAGGTTATCTTATCCTCACTATTTTTAAGAGACATTATTATTAATCTAATTAATTTGTTGGGAATCTTATATTCTTGGAATGCCTCAATCATACTCATTCTATTGACACTGTCGAAGGCTTGATGATAATCAATAAACAGTATGTGTAAATCTATGTTGTACCCCTTCCTCTAGGGAAACCTCATTGATAGTCACACAGTATGTTTTTGGCGTAAAGGCTTAATTTTTTTAACAATATATTTGAGAATATCTTGTACCCCACCCCTAGTAGTGAGATACCGTGATAATTTTCGCACTGGAGTTGGGACATATTAGACTACTACTCCATTCATTAGGCATTCTCCCTTTCTCCCAGATATTAAATATTAGAGAGTATAATTGATACAGCTTCACCTGCATTTTTGAAGAATTCAGCAACAATAGCATCTTCCCCAGGTGCTTTGCTGTCAAGCTTTTCAATCAATTCTAAGAAGTCTTCCATATCGGGTGGCTCTAAATCATTTTCATTATTTCTTGGAAAAGAATGTAAAATTAAACTGGGATTTGAATCAGTCTCTTGATTCATATTGTTCCTAGAATCTACTAGCTCACCAAAGTATTCCACCCACCTTTCTATCGCCTTCACCTTGGCTTCAACAACGTTTCCATTTTTGTCTCCATGTCTAACCACTCCATAAAATTTTCTGATTTCATTATTGGTCTTTAGTTCCTCAGACTGTTCTTTTTCAAATATTCCTTTTTGTAGACCAGGATATTCCTTTTTCTTTTTTTGCAATATCTTTTTAGCTCTTCGACGACTTGGAATATAGTTAGATGAATTGTCTTGTGGATCGTTGCATCATAACCCATCTGTACTCATTCCTCATCGAACCATCCCTTATTTCTAATTTTCACTTTCTCACCAATTACTTCATCCGCAGCTCCCTCTATGACCTTTGTTATCCTGCTCCAATTCTCCTCTATCCTCATTTCCTCATCAGCACTTTTATGGAGTTCAAGTTCTTCCTTCATTTTATCATCAGTTACGCTTTTATACTCCATCATTTTCTTAGGGTCTTTGGATTTTTCCAGGCTTTCCATTTGTACAGCTTTCCTAATTTTACATTAGCTAAGCGTTCCCTGAATTTAATCTTTACTAAATTATGATCTGAGTCGCAATTCGGCCCTCGAGCAGCTCTGCAATGATCGAAGAGGAATATCGCTTATTTATAAGAACATGATCAATTTGGGCCAAGGAGCCATTGGGTGCCTTTCAAGGTCAAAGATGAATGTTTTTATGAGGAAAGCAAGTGCTTTTTATTATCATGTTATTTGCTTCAGCAAACTACTATAAATGATTACCATTATCATTTGTTTCCTGGTGAAACGAGTGGACTCCAGCAACACTTTTTGTAAAGCTTTCTTTTCCAACTTGGGCATTCAGGTCACCCATGATAATTTTTGTATCATATTTAGAGCTAACTTGAAGGGCTCTTTCTAATTGTTTATAGAAAGCTTGTTTATCGTCGTGATCACTCTCATTTGTTGGAGCATAGGCTGATATTAATATTACATTTCTGAATCTTCAGTTAAGGCAAATTCTATATAGTCTATCACTAATAGGTTCAAAACAACAAAAGGCTACACTGAACTCTCTTAGATATCATAAAACCAGTTCCTCTATGTCCATTTTTCTTTGCTCCACTATACAGCAATGAATATTCCTTCTTATTTATTCTTCCCTGCCCATCCCATCAGATCTGCAGTGTTACGTCAATATTAAATGCAATTTCCTGCTCAGCTACTTCAGGCACATTCCCAGGCTTTAGCTTCATCCTGATGTTCCAAGTAGCAAAAACCAGGTCAGAGTTCCTATTCCGTTTACCATTATTTCCATCCTTAATCTCATTGTCGGTTTTCTGAACGATAGATTTTTTTATAAGGCAGGGTTGTTGGCACTGTGCTCAACCGCCAACCTGGCGGACCATGTAATTTTTTATCGAGGTTTCTGTCCCCTAGTTTGGTCGCTTTCACTTCAGCTAAGAGCCCAATCTGCCCTGGTATTTTATCATAGTTAGCCTCTCCTAGCCCAATCCGTCCTGGTGTTTTATCAGAATTGGTCCTCTCTCAAACTGTACAAGGCAGTAAGGGACAGTCCATATTTGATGGCAGCACTTACTTGCCATGTTGCACTGACGTCATTGGGTTTATATGGAATTTGTCGGTAATGTTCCTGTCACAGGAGCCCCCACACCCTGATGTCACTGCCTTCTCGGTCCGTTTCTGCTTATTTCGGAAAAACCTTTATTCGCAGCCACCCACCATATTTGGTGGGCTTCACTATCCACCACCTGTGACCCGCCCAGTAGCTGAGGCTCGCCCTGGGGAAGAAACAAATAATAATACTTTATTTACTTAATCTGGAACGAGTCCCTTTAGAATAATTCACAAGGACAGAAATGTGGGCTTTTGAGCCTCAGAGATATATAAGCATAATTATAAAGTACACAAATAAACATTATAGAAAAAAATATATGGGTTATCTTCTAACTTAAATCAATTAAGAATAAAATAAAACAATTGAAAAAAAACATGAAATGAAAATAATTGAAAAAAAAAACTAATTGGAACTGGATGAACTGGAAGTGATTGTATTGAATAGGCGGGATTTAATCATTCGTACGTATGTAGGAAGGGATGGAGTTCCATAGGGATGAGGATCGAATAATGAATGATCTATCAAAAGCAGTGGTTAGGTGGGCTATTGGCGGGAGTATATAAATCTGAAGACCAGGAATGGTTATTCCGGGAGTGAACAAAGGATTTCAATTGAAGGAGCTCGGAGATGTATGGAAAAAGGCTGGATTGAATGACTTGGAAGAAGAAGGATGCCAGGAAATACTTCCAACAGTAGGAAGGATATAGCCACTTCAACTCTTTATAAAAACAGGAAACAGAGGTGTCACCTGGTATCCCAAATTGTACAAAGCACTTTAGCAAACATTTTTAGTTTTGCCTCGAGATCCCCAGAGACGCCTCCATATAATGTGCAGCAATAGTCAAAGTGAGGAAACATTAAGGAAGTGACCAGGGGTCTACGGGTTTAAAAAAAAAAAAGTGATTGAGACAATTTAGACGTTTTAAGGTATAAAAAGTATGGCAGGAGATGTTGGATACAAGTTTTTTTCCAGAAAAGGGTTTGATCAAAGGTTATTCTAAGGTTTTTAATGTTGGGATAAAATTTGATGGGATTATCATGTAGGAACAAAGTTGGAATGTTAAGAATGGTTTTAAAAAAAGTGATTGGGGCCTATTAGGATTACCTTAGTCTTTTCTGCATTCAAAATCAGCTTGTTCCCTTCTGCCCAATCACAGATTCTAATTAAGTCTTCTTGAAGTTTTTTTGTGGCTGGTAATAGGTCAGAAGGCGGAAAGCACAGGTATATTTGAAAAAAGTCTGCATAGATATGGTTTTGGGAATGATGGATCAGAAGGGAAAGGTCATTAATGTAAATAATAAACAGAGTAGGGGATAGAGAGGAACCTTGAGGAACATCAAAGGAGAGGGGGAGTGTCTTAGATGGAGCTTGACCTGGGAGACAACTACATACTGGGACCGATCTGAAAGGAAGGATTTGAACCAACGCAGGGTACTGTTAGGTAGAGGAAGATTTTGCAACTTAGTAAGGAGAATACTATGGTTAACTGTGTCAAACGCTTTAAAAAATCTAGAAGGATAGAACATACTGAGAATCAGGAGTAAAACTTGCATTCAGAACTTAATTTTCTTAATAGAGATCATAGGTAATCTACCACAACAGAAGTTCAAAGCAAAATATTGGTCAAATAATTAATTCCAAACTGTTACTTTGGAATGAAAAATATTTCTATTAAACTGATATGAAAACAATCCAAAGTAACTATTCAAAACTCTTATCCAGACTGTGCTTAGTAAAAGTTCAGAAACTTCTAAATGAGTTGTTGGGAAGGACAGTGTGAGATTGACTATGGAGCTTGCCGCTGTTCCATGGAGACCATGGTGCATAACAACATGAGATAGGATGTCCTCCAGACTATCTGTGCTCCTGCAAGCAATATTTGTCTGTAAGAAGACCACGTCATATAGAAAAAGATTTACATAGTCTATAGTGCTAACCGAAAAAAAATATATATTGTGATTTAAACTTATATCAAGATTGATAATAATTAGTATTACTATATATATTTATAATGTTATGAATTTTGGTGATGTTTCTTTTTAATATGCATTAAATTTTTCATTTCAAATGTAACTTGATTTTATTTTAAAATGCTATAGATCAACCTTTCATTTGATTTATAATTATAAATGTTCACAGCAAACAGCCTGTTACTGGCAAGCTTGGATTACCAAATCTATGGATCAGGAATGCTCAGAATGGTTTGTGTGGCTTATTTATCAGTTTGGGTTACTTTTGCACCTCCTCCTAAAGATAGGTAATGTTTTCAAAGAATATATGTATATATATAAATATATCAATTGTAATTTATTTATGATTTATATATATTTTTTTATTGATTTTTACGGTCAGTCTATCAACTGAATAACATAGTTGGATAATAATTACATTAAATATTCGGATACTAATTGGCAGGCTGTAAATATATCTGCAAATTATATGGCAACATCAGGTAAAAAGGTAGGATAAAAAGTTAAAAACATGCAAATAAGAAAAAGATAGCAAACTGACAGCATCTAATGAAAAAATAGTAAGCATCTGGAAAGAAAATTTTCATTAGCTTTTCAATCAAGGTGCGTCCAGGAACAAAGAAGACTTGAACCATGGTGAGGAACTTAATCAACAAGATGTTGAAAAATAGATATACTGGCTGTAGATGTACTAGCTATCAACAGACTTAATAAAGGCCCCAGAGATGGACAATCTAAATCACAGTTGTTGAAAGATGGGGGAAGAGACCTAAGAGCTAAAACTTTATGGTTTTTCATTTCAATGAAGTTTATAATTATTTTTATATAAATTTGATATTATGTAACATTATATTGAAAATGATTATAGGTGCTAACAAGCTAGATTCAAAAGAGGAACGAGCACACTAGACCAGATCTTCATTCTGAAACAGGTGCTTAAAAATCGACGAGAAGTAGCTCAGGTTGTGCATGCCTTATTTATTAATTTGAAAGATCGTGAATGAGCTGGAAGTTCCTAAGAAATCAGTGAAATTAATTAAGGCACTTAAAAATGAAATTAAATGTCAAGTCCTGATACAAGGAGAAGTATCTGAAGCCCTTGAAAGTTAAACTGGTTTGTAACAGAGAGATAAACTCTCGCCGATGCTGTTCAACTTAAAGATGTAAATAGAGTCAATGAAAAAAAATCGATATTTATATTTTTGATACATCAAAACAGTAATTTATTTTATCAGACAGCAATATTTTTAATTTTTAAATAGTAGGGATGTAAATATCGAAATATCAATAAAAGTATTGCTATTTTGTACCTCAATATTTTTAAACTTTAAAAGAAGAGGAAGAGGGTTAACATTGGAGTAATCGCTTTAGTAGCAAAAATTAAATATTAATATATTACTGATCACAAAGAAAAGTATCAATTTATTTTTTAAAAAATAATTATTTCTTGGGACTTGACAAAAGTATGGTATTGCATCGTGTTGTATAGGTTTTTCCATGTAAATTATACATGGTATTCCTAAAGACATTTTTTATAAAATAGTCTCAAACTGTCATCATCACAAAAATATAAATCACAAAACAATACATTACTTAAGACTAATAAAAAAATCGAGGATATCAATTGACTTGACCACAGTCACACTATTGTGTTAGAGAGAAACACTTTATTTTCATAAAATATAAAGGATTGCTGCCCAACTATATTGGGTTGCTATATACACAGCATACTCTTCTATCCCTAAGACAATATATGAACTTATATATAAATATACAGAAGTATTAGTTAATATTAGTACAATAGAAATATATATATATACATTTTTATTATTTTATTTATTTTTATAATTTTTTTTTTCCTTTTTCCTTCTTCTCATTGTTCATGTTTTTTTTTTTTGTTTTTTTTTTATTTAACATTAAGTTTCCCTTTCTCTCACTTCTCTCTCTTTATCTCTATTGTTTTCAATTAATAAAATAAATAAACAAATACATAAATTAAAACTCTCGGGCTAGCCATGCACGTGGTGGTGAATGATTCCCAGGGAGTCGAGGACTATATTTTCAGCCAACCTCGCTACGTCCTTAATGTCGACACCTAGTTCCTCGAGGAAGCTCCTTGTTCTTTTTGGGATAGTTCCGCGAGACCCAAACCAGAGGCCTCTCACGGTGAACTCTCTCTCTCCGAAGGTCTCACGGAATTTCTCTTTTAGGAAAGGGATACATTTATCGTACGTGTTCTTCTTTTCCCTTTCCACTTCACCCGCCTGATCAGGTCATTGCTCTCAAAGCGGACAGTTGGATCCAAGATCAGCGCTGTCCTTCCTGTCTTGGGAAATGCGACGATATCAGCGTATCTCGTAGAGCCTTCACTATCGATGCAATATACCTCGTCAAAGCAGGTGAATTTTTTTCCTAGGAGCCTCATCAACTCGAACTTGACCCGGTGGTGACGACGTGTTATGAGGAGGGAGTTGTTGGGGCATTTTCCCAGCACATGGGCTGGTGTTTCAGACTCTCTGCCGCATTTACGGCAGAGGGACCCAACTTCTCTGACCTGTCCGCTGACACCTGGGACTCCACGCAGGGGTGCATAATTGATGTTTAGTTTTAGGGCATTCGACCATTCAGACCCAGAAAGTACTTGCTTTTCGTAGATGTATCTATTCGCTTTCGGGGTCTCTTTAAAATGGCGAACACCAATACCCTGCCACCTGCAGTTGGCCCATTCCTCAAATGCATTTTCTCGTAGCGACTGCCGTAGAGCTTTCACATTTCGATGACCCTGATCAACCCCCAATCTCTCGGCACATTCAGCAATTTCAGCCGAATAATCGAAGGTAGACTGAAAAAGGGCATCTGGTACATTGGACAGTCGCTGAGCAATGGACCAATGTTGAAGAGGAGCCTCCCATTGGCAGCGGATTAATCCCAATCCTCGGTATCTCCTGGGGGCATATAACATCGCTGAGGAAGTATTCGCAGGGAGTCCAATAATGGCCTTTACGCTCCTGCGAATCATAGTGTCGATGCCCTCCAGGATAGCAGGACGTAGCTTTGTTAGGGGCGCAGTTTGGAGAGGGTAAGTAAGACCCGGGAACAGATATTGATTGACAATGTTGAGTTTCTGCTCAGGTTTAAGTAAGCAAGAGGTTACCAGCTTGTTTAGATTATCATTCAATTTAGTCACCGAATCCTCGTTGAATTGCAGCTCTCCCGAGAATGTACATCCTAAATACTTAATCGTATCTCCATTCTTCAATGTTTGGATGTACTCACCATTCTCAAGGGAGAGCACCGTCGTTTCCAGCTCTCCTTTATTCATAACGATGCCCATACTTTTTTGAGGATTTATAGCCAGACCAATTTCTTTAAATGTTCTTTGTATGCTGTCAATCACTCTTTCTGCAGCCCCCTTGTCACGCGCCGACACTGCCTGGTCATCCGCGAAACCTGTGAGGACCACACAATCCTGCTCATTCCTTAATTTGTATCCAAATTTCTTGGAAAAGTCCTCGTCACACAGGTCGCGGTAGAGATGATCGATGGCCAGATTGAAGAGTGAAGACGACAGGGGACCGCCTTGGGGTACACCGCGCAGCACTTTGATCTGGCTAGTTGCATGGACACCGTTGCCAATCTTTATGGTGTTCGTGCTAAGGAGAGCTGATATGACATTTGTAAGATTCGGTGACACACCTCTCGCTTCTAAGGAGCTTACGATGTGTTTGTGCCCAACATTGTCAAAAGCACCGACAACGTCGAGGAAAACTATCGCACAGTCATTTTTCATTTTTTGTGCATCTTTTAATACCGCGTCGATGATCCTCGCGTTGATGTGCGTTCCCGGGAGGCCTTTTATAAAGCCTCTCTGACTCTTGTGGAAGGTGACCTGCTTTCTTAATTCGTAGTCCAGAACCTTCTCTATGATTCGGCGCACAATCGAGTATATGGTGATCGGTCTCCAGGTAGAGATATTGTTTATATCACCTTTGCCCTTATATATCAATATTGTGCGCCCTTGTCGAAGTGGTTCCGGAACATAGGCCACCTTCAGCATTATCTCTGCAATTGTTTTAATAATGCTTGATACGTCAAAATATTTTATTGTGCGGATCAGAACTCCATCAGGCCCCGGCGATGTGTCCATTGATGTTGATTTAATGGCTTTCCTGATAGCTTCTATCTCAATGGACAGCAAATCCGGCATCGGGGCACACTGTTCGTAATCCGCACGCCCGCAGAGATTTTCGCTCTCAAAGAGGTCTTTATAATGCCTCTCGATTTCGGCCATTTTTAGAGGACACCGTTTAGGAGCGTCGGCATTCATTACAGTTTGCACAACCTTTTTTCTTTTATTATAATAATTATATTGGGCAACCTCGTACTGATACTGCTCTTGCCGACGACTCCTGTCTACTTTGTTTGCCCTCTGCGGATTTGAGACTTGTCCAGCACCCTTGTCAGCCATTTTCGTTTTATTGTTTTTCCTCATCCTATAAAATTTTACGGCTGGGTGCTGGGGACCTGGCAGTTCCGCATTGATGACTTTGAGGAACTTTAGGAACTTGCCTACGGCCTCATCAAAATCCGCAGTATTTACCATATCTTGCTTTAAAAGGTTCTTGAACGTAGTAGACCATTCAACAATGTCCTCTTTTATTTTTGATGACTCACCCTCTCCATTTCTAGGACCTATCACGTTCTTTACTATGCCCCTCAATGTATTGTTATTCGCCTCCCTGGGATGTTTTTTTGCAATGTGGGTTCCGAGACCTCGTTCGCCCTTAAAAGAAAGCCCGCATATCAGACAAACTTTATCATCAGGGCGTAGAGCTTCATTTTGCCGCTCACTAAGTACCTCTGCGACATTCAGCGGATCATTTGGCAATCTGAGAAAGACATCATCTATCGACACCGTCTTTCCCAATACCACACCTTCTGTGTCAGGCCATTCTACTTTAATAAACTTATTTTCTCCGCCTCCTGCAGTAGCCACAGACATCACAGAGGCAACAACCGCCTCTTGAACAGGTTCTCCAGTTCTCAGAACCCATACCTTTTGTCCAACTTCGATCTTCTTCGTTGGTATTTTGTTCATTGCAATATTTTTTTTTGTTCTAGACTATGCCCACCACGCGCATGATTGAAACAATCTGTGCATAATTAAATAAATAAATAAATACAAAGTTAAAAACTATAAAATTAAGTGTTAAATAGTGTTATAGTTAAAATATAAAATCAATAAAAGCTTAAAAAAATATACATCTATCAAATAAATTGCTTATAAATAAGTTACAATATAAAATCAGTAAAAAGTTTAAAGTTAAAATTTAAGTACAAGTTAAAAATAAGTGAAAGTTAAAATCTAAAAAAAGAGTTAAAAAGTCAAAGTCTAAAAAGGTTAAAATCTAAAAAAGTTAAAATCTAAGAAAGTTAATAAGTTAAAATCTAAAAAAAGAGTTAAAAAGTCAAAGTCTAAAAAGGTTAAAATCTAAAAAAGTTAAAATCTAAGAAAGTTAATAAGTTAAAATCTAAAAAAAGAGTTAAAAAGTCAAAGTCTAAAAAGGTTAAAATCTAAAAAAGTTAAAATCTATAAAATAATTTCCTGAAATGAGTTAAAATGTAAAATCAATTAACTGTTAAAAAGTTAGAATCTAAAAGAATAAATAAATAAAACAATAAAAATAGTAATTGCCTAAATCAGTTAAAAATAAAAAGATAAAAATTTAAGTAGTTATAATCTAAAAAAAAACAATATACATCCACCTATCCACATCACATTATCAAACCTAATATATAAAATAAATTACAAAATATAGGATCATTAAATACTTTTAAAAAAAGAAAAAATTCAGTTCAGCAATAGTAAATTTAAAAAAAAAAAAAAAAAAAAAAATGTCCACTTTAAAAATTTGATTTAAACCGTTCTATAAATAATGAATTATGATAGTAAAAACTTATTTTTTTTCTTTTTATATTTTATGAGAGAAAGGGATCGAATATAAAAATTATAAGTGTCATATTAGTTGGGCTCCGTCGATGATTGTATTGATGAGACGACACTGACCTTGCTGAGCGGTGGAGGGGGCCGACAGGTTCCAGGCTGCAAAGTGATAAGGCTCCGGTCCCACAAGTATTATCACTTTCGTTGCCTTCTGATTCTGGCTAATATCCTAGCTCAATTTTCATAAGATCTCATATGCAGGTCTTTAACATACAGCTCCGTCTAGGTGCGAAATTGCAGCTCAATTGGATGAAAAATACCCAATAATAGACGATGATGACGTGGAGCTGATCTTTCTTTCTCACCGGCTCGAGCCGAACTCTAGACTAGATGTAGAACTCTAGAACATCTAGTACATATAACATGACAAGATGTCCCACTTTTTTGACAATTTAGCTATCTTCCATATGATTAACCATAAAATATATAATTTTTAATACTGGGTGTTTTTTTGCCTCCCTTCCCCCTGCAACTACAACAAACAGAGGTTTCCTCCTTCATGGCACAAGATATCTGTATGTTGACTGCAGATTGTAACATAAACACACCACACCATTAGTTCACTTTCAAAATTTTTTTTTCTTGAAAAAATATGAATAATTCTGTGAACCACTTCTTGACTTTTCATGTAAATACCAGCAAGATGAAAGAATAAATGATTCATTGTGACTTCATAGAAGTAATTTACAAAAAAAAAAAATAAAAATCCACATTCAAAGGCACTAAAAAGTGTTGAAAGTCTACTAATTTAGTTTTAATAACAGAATGCTGATCATGCAATAAAATTAGAATTATGATAAATGAAACGAGAGGTGAGAAATAAAATTAACAAACAAACTAAAATACCATAATATTTATTATTATTGTATTTCTTCATATGCAGAATAATAACAGTAAAAAATGATGAAATAAATGTCATTTTTAAAACTTTTATATATTGTTTTCTCCGCTTCTAAGGCTCATTGAAAAGAACGCCAGTACATGTATCCAATATTTTTAGATGTAGAATTAGAAAAACATTTCATTAAAATCAGAGACCCACTGACTATGTCTTCCCCTTCTCAGTTATATATCAAAGGTTTCTTTTCCATTCTTTTCTTATAAGTTATTTATACATTTGTTAAATAATTATGTTTTTTTTCAGGCATAATATCATGAAGAAGAAGATTAATTAAGAAGTGCAGAGATGTTCTCCATTATTGTGATTCCTAATAAATATGAATTAAAATTACTTGCTATTAGAAGTTAAGATTTGACTGATATTTACAGTATCCAGATTTTTAGTAATCAATTTATGAATTATAATTAAAACTATTATATAAAAAGGGTACTTTTAGTCTGAGCGGCCGCTACCGACTGCTATCTGGCAATGTTTATAACCTGAACACTGATAACTCCCATAACGCAGTGACAAGCCTTCTCCTACTTCACATCTTCGTATTATTGTATTAAATTCGTATTATTGAAAGTGTAAACAGATACAAAAACAAATGTAATAACAACAAAAATACTTGTATTTGACGACAAATATATTAATGAAATAATAAAAAAACACTTTAAGAAGATATGTACATATAAAACTTCAAAATGAAATTAAAAAAAACAAATTTAAAAGAACATATTTACATAGAAAAGAAAAAATATCAACACTATAAACAACGTATATACAAATTATTTTAAGTTAATTATTCACTTCCTTTTGTCTTATTTATTTTGGAAGGCAAAATTGTTTTATGCTACAAGGGGTCACAAACTAAAAAAAAATGTAAAATAAATACAAACGGGCCAAAAACTAAAAATAAACACAAACGGGCCAAAAACTAAAAATAAACACAAACGGGCCAAAAGTAAACAATTTAATAAGTGAACGTAATAAGGGAATGACTGAAAACCAAATAATGCAATAACTCAAAAGTTTGGCGGGATAAGAAGAGGGAGGTTATGTAACATGATGACATGATGTTAGATAAGATAGATAAGAAGTGAGGTTTCAAAACGGCCTCTTAGACTAAAAGTACCTTAAAAAGTTTTGATATAACACGTATAGTTACTTTTGTATTAATTCTATTAGATTTAATAAATCATTAATAGAGATTATCCAATATTTATTTTTATGCAAAAATATTATATTACTTGATGGTCATGAAATAAGAAAAACAAAACAGGAATTAAAAGTGATAGAACAATTAAATGTGGTGATTTTTGGAAAAAACATTGCATGTAAAGTCATGGCTTCATAATGGAACTGTTTGATTACAGGAATTATATTTTAGAAGTTTATAGCTAGTTCAATCAAACCCAGGGAGATGTTAAGTTGATTGTTTAAAATTTTTTTTAATGTTTAAAAACAAAAAGGAGAAAATATAATATACATATATGTTTATGTAAGACGTTTTAAGAACTAAAAATATTTTATTTCAATTAAAAAAAAAGACATATAAAGAATAAAAAGATAAAACATTTTTTAATGATTTTCACAAATATAATACATATTTATGTCTAGCTCTAAATGTGTAACAGCAATTAATAAAAACTTTTCTATATATAGCATTTCCAAGTCAATTTCAACCTTTTCCAAATCAAATTCAACCTTTTCCAAGTCAAATTAAACCTTTTCCATTTCAAATTCAACCTTTTCCAAGTCAAATTCAACCTTTTCCATTTCAAATTCAACTTTCGAATTTTCGTCAATTTTCGATTTTTTTCGAAATGAAGGCCACTTACTATATTATCGAAGGCATAGCTTTTGAAAAATACAAAAAAAAATTTGATAACGCGGTTGCATATCCATTTATTTTGACATTTTAGATTTTTTCAGTGTGATATTTCTATGTCATTTCCAAGTCAAATTCAACCTTTTCCAAGTCAAATTCAACCTTTTCCAGATCAAATTAAACTTTTTCCAAGTCAAATTCAACCATTTCCATTTCAAATTAAACCTTTTCCAATTCAAATTCAACCGTTTTCATTTCAAATTAATGTTTTAATTTTTTGTAAATCTTATATTTTTTTTTTAAATAATGGCACATCCCCTCCCCCCCTCCAATATGAAAGTCTATTATTATGCTCTCCTAAGTAGAATTTTCACTTACGGATATCGATTTATTGTACCTATTCGGATTTATTAGGGACTAGTATTATGCTGTCCTGTACCTAGTTTTGAAAATAACCCCCATTGTAAGATTAAGTGAGTGCGTTTCGAATCATTTAAGTTTTTTTGATTTATTCGATATAAAGGTGTATTTTTATGTTTCCTGATCAGTAAATTTTGAAAATGACATCCATTTTATGTTTACGCCACTGTGTTTTGACTTATTTAAGTTTTTAGAATTTATCCAATATAAAGGTCTACTTTTATGTTTCTGGAGACGTAGATTTTGAAAACGACCTCCATTTTAAGATTAGGCCACCGCGTTTCGACTTATTTGAGTTTTTCGGATATTTTTCATATGAGGGTGTATTTTTATGTTTCCGGAGCTGTAGATTTTGAAAACGACCTCCATTTTAAGATTAGGCCACCGCGTTTCGACTTATTTAAGTTTTTTTTATTTATTCGATGTAAGGGTGTATTTTTATGTTTCCGGAGCTGTAGACTCATATATATTACTATAATAAGGCCTATTTGGACTTACGGGATCGAGCTTTGAGGCTCTACTAAACCATCAAATTCCTCTCGTATCCAATCCCTACAATCCAAAATCCTGTGTAAAATCCTCAATGCTTCCTACTTCGTCACAAATAAAATCATCCATAACAACCTTAATGTACCATATGTTTCCGATTTAGCTCAATCCAGATACCTATCCTTCCATAATATACTTCTGAACCATCCGAATCCTCGTTTCCAACCTTGCTTCCTCTTCTATTCCTGATAACCCTCCGAGGCGTCTGAAAAAAAGATGGCCTTGGGACCTTCTAATATAGAAATATAATTGGAGTGCTACCAATGGGTAGTTTCTCTTCATGTTGTACATGTGTCATGTTACTTGTTTCATATTTACTTGTTGTATTTATCATTTAATACAGTTGTAAATTTCAATAATAAAAAAAAAATAATAATAAAAAGAAGTTGTCCTCATAATATAAATGCATATAATTGTTTATTCTTTCTTGCTACCGATTCAGGCTAAATGAACAAAAATAATAAAAAGTTTGTATGTTTTTAGGTCTGCTATCACTTATTATCAATTATATGAAATCAATGTCAATCTAATCTTCATATTGATATCAAGAAAATCTTTATTGATATCGATTACTATTCTTTTGTTGATGACTTTACAATCATCGAATCAAAGAAACTTTTACTTACAATGAGAACAATAAAAAGTGTTAAAATAACAAATTTAACTTCGAAATGGTTTCAACTAATATAAACCATGGATATTTAATGGTTTGGATCAATTTTTGCTTTAAGTGAAAATTTTATAAATATAATCTCTTAAATACCTATATATCCATTCACTTCATTAAAAAATGTACAGGATCATTTGTATAGAGATTTTAAGGTACTTTAATATTGTACTGATCAATACTTGCAATAAGCCTAAGCCTCTTGAGATTTTTTAAATAAATTATCAATTTTCTGTCATTGTTCCACTCTCTTCCATCAAAACCTGACATGGGAAACATTGGAAACTTTACCAGTTATTATAGGGAGGGTAATGAACAATTTCTAATTAATTTCATCTTTGTTTTTGGATGTTTTGGTCAATCCCTAATTTCACTGTACTATGAAGGAGGTAGCTCAGTAATCTGTATCCCCAATTATACTAATATGTGTACAATAATAATTATCTTTTATCTTTCTGGACGAATCTCTTTAGAGTAAATAACAAGGACAGAAATGTGAGCTTTGGAGCCTTGTGTGTGTGTGTGTTGGTTTGTGCGTATGTTCAGCTGCCTATGGATAGAGATTGAGCAGAGAACTGGTGTTTACATTTGAACGCCCGCTGCCGCCAGTTTACATTTTGGTCCCATCCAGGCCGGATTGTGCGTTAGTAATTAATAGTTTGGTCCAATCCGGATTCTGTGTTATTAATTTATATTTTGGTCCAATCCGATATTAATGAATATATATGTCCAATCCGGTATTAATTAATATATTGGTCCAATCCGGTATTAATTAATATTTCGGTCCTCCACAACATTTTGCAAATAGCAGTAAATTATTTTTTAATAATATGCATTATATGTACATTGTTTTTTATGTAATCAGCTTTACACCCATGGGATACCTTTTACCCTTTTACATTTTCTAATCTTATTTATTTAGCCAGCATTATTTAATTTTCTTATTTTGCTATATTTGCATTCCCATCATCGTGAAATTTAATTTAACCAAACAGGTAAATCTTAAGATTAAACTTCAGGAGTCTGTTAGTGAAATTAATAATATTGTTGACTTAGTTCGTTTTGTTATGTCAAATCCTTACCAATTTGATTTATTCAAGGCTTCATTCAAGTGTCTTAATGATCATTTCGACTCCTTTTCCACAACATATTGTGCGTTTGGTAATTATGAATCATAGTCCTTATTTATTTCCTACTGAAGTCGATGAGGAATTTAATAAAATAGTTACGTACACCTATTATGTAGGCTTAGCTATTCATGAACATTTCATGAACCCCACTCTTCTGGGTTCTCTTTTCTCCACAAGAGCCGTTGATAAGCTTCAGTCCTTTTCACAAGGCATTACTTCTCCTCCAACCACTAGCGGATCCAGGATTTATTTTTGGGGAGGGGGGCTTCAGCCCGAAAGGTTTTTTTTTTCATAAAAATAACGATAATTACTTTGGAAAAAAAGAAAGAAACTAACTACCTGTATGAAATGGTGTTTAAGTTATTCCTAAAGCCCTTTTAAATGTAATTACACGAATAATAATACTTTAAGAGATACTTTTTAAATATTTTTTTCGATAAAACATGGTTATATTTTACCATTTTGGGGGGGGAGCTTCAGCCCGAAAGCCCCTCCCCGTAGATCCGCCCGTGCCTCCAACCATAACTAGGGTTCCATAGTCCTCATTCTGTTGAGAGTGAAAATATTCCTAAGGACACCATTGTTAATAAATTATTCAATAGCCACTCCATTAACACCTTTTAATAATTTACTTGCCCTATATGTAAGGCAGTTGACTCTCACTGCCACTGCAGTGCATTTATTATTGCCTCAGAGGCACAACATAATCAAGATGCCTTATTTTTTGTGATCGCCCAGCTGCGCTAGAAATACCTAAATCCAATGACATCTCCTTGGAAAGGACTCAAGCAACAGATGACACTCAACTGCATTGCACCTCTAAGAGGTCATCAGTTAATCATCCAATTCTCACCAGTATTCCTGATACCCATAATTTAGAACTCGATGGCTCAGTTGTACCTATTACATCCAATGACATTTCATTAGACAACAAGGTTACCACCCAGGGCCTCATACCGCGCCTGTGTTCTAGCTCCAAGAGTTCGAGAGTCTCACCTCATTCGCCCCAGTGCTCCTTATCTCACATAATCTGTGCGTCCAGTTGTGCCAGCTCCACCAACAAACCTATCCAGTGACATTTCACTGTCAAGATCACCTCACACGCTGCAGTGCCCTTCCAAGAGGTCCCCAGTTATTAGCAGAAGCAAATCTTCTATGCTGCAACAGCCCAGCTGTGCCATACTCCAAAAGATCAACATTTCGTTGGAATTACATTCTGCCGAAGATGCCTTACATTACATCTGCAGAACACCAAGAGGTCAACAGAGCTCCAAGAGCCACTTCAAACAGGTTCTGAATGCCCAGCTGCATCAGATCCTGATAAATTCAGCGACATTTCGCTTCCTCCCGCTGTTC